TTAAATGCGGCGGTTTCGCATTTTTCCTCGGGGGCGCTCTCGCATTTGGAGAATTTTTCCGTAATGCGAGGTCGCGGCTAAAAAAATGCGAGGCCCGCGCCACGGCGTTCCAAAAGGGAACCTCGCAGTAGAGAAAAAAATGAGGCAGAAAGTACCGCGCCTCAATTGCAGAAAAACTGGGCGTGGTTTAGTTTTTTGTATTGGGAATTCAAAACCCTATTTCTTGTTACATTTTTCGTTTCTGAGTGTTACTGCTGTGTTTATACTGTTCGTCAGCTCTGACTTCATATAAGTTGGTTGTGTCATGTCGCTCCTTGGCCGTTTACCGCTTTAGTTGAGGCAAAACGAAAAAAATGATAATTCGCGAGTTTTTTTAATTTTACATGCCATGTATTCGACATCTTTCTGCTTGATTCATGTGCAGAATGAGTTTTTTTCTACAATCTAAAATTGTTCAAAAAAATCTTTGTCGGCAAAAAAATAATTTTTTTAAACTGAATTTCATGGAATCTTGTCAAATTTTTGGGTGTTCCGCGCGAAAGATTAAAACTTTTGTGGTATGTCGGTCAATCTTTTATTTTGATAGCTGAAAATGTTCACACAGGTTCATTCGAAAGAACATGGTTAATTAGAGAATCGGAAAAATTTTTAGAGAACACCTGCGAAGATCGCAGAACTACGCAACAAATGAGCGTTTTTCCATTATCATTCTATGTGATTTTCGTCAAAACTTCTCAACAACATTCATTCAAATTTTTTGTTTTACGTTTTACTATCATTCTTTCATCTTTTAAACAACGAATACCATAGGCTTATAGCTGAAAATTTTTCGTAAAACCGATTTAAAGGTTGAGAAGCAATTATACGGATAATTGCCAGTGAAACTTCATCGAATTGCTTCTTTTATGTTTTTGAAAGCTTCCACTTTTCCATGGACATCATGATAATCACAAAAAAATACTCTGAATTCAATCGAAACATCTCAATTTCTTAAAATTTCGTTTTTTTGACATTTTCTGTGAATTTTTCAAAAAGTTCTGTTGCGCAAATACGCTCCAACGAACGCAAGGGCGCGGTAAAATGACACGCCTCATCGGCTCGCTTGCGAATTCCCTTTTGGAACGCCGTGCGCGCGGGACAGAGCGAGATTTTTGCGAGTTCGTCAATGTACCGCCAGCGAGTTCGCTTTTTCCCCTGTGCCGGATTGATTAGTTATTTTTAGTTATCTTTCAATGACTACTTTTCCAGTTCTCTCAAACCAACAGGGAATTTTCCGGCATTTTTTTCATTTTTTGGCATTTCATTTTTCTCGCTTTGAATGTCATATTCACATGTTTCAGTCAGTTTTTCGTGACCTTTCAAAGTTTTTTCTTTTTGGTTTTAATCGATTTGTCACTCCAAAAACGGCTCCGCTGTATGTTTTTTTCATTTTGTTATTTTTTTTTTCAATTGAAAAGCGAATATTTTCTCCAAGTTTCCTGATTAAAGTTATTTTTCCGATACGTTATCGTTCTTCGCGGTAATTAAGGACTGGAAAAGGCTGAATTTGAATGAGCACTACAGACATACATTTGCGAAATGACTCAATTTATTGCTTTTTGACTTTTTTTGAGACACTGACCTCAGAACAGTCGCGAGAGGCTCTTTTTCAGACTCTCGAGGTCTTGCAAGTCCTTGGGAGATGACGGGAGATTCCTCGAGAGTCTGCGTGCCGTCGAGAGGTGCCTTCCCAATTTGACTACGACAGCGAGGTTCTGGATGTAAACCCCGCTGTCGTAGTCCGCCAATCTCTTCTTGATCGATGCGCCGACTTCGGCGGCCGTCAGCGGCGCCAGAACTGCCAACGTGATCGGCTGGGCGTCCACGGGCGGCTTGGGCTGGGGGCCAGGGAGCCTGTTGCCGATCCTGCTCGACCTCTTGAGAACCCCCATGACCGCCTGGGCGCGCCGTTGCTGAAAAGATATCGTTTGTTTTTCATATATTCAAAATAACTACTGAAACCAATAATTTTTTTGCGGTTATCATTCTTGTTTTTGCAAATCATTGAAAAGAATTCAAATTTCCAACTGACATCGTAAATGAGTCTCTTCAGAGAGGTTGGCTATTGCATTGATTAGGATTTTACTTTTTCAATAAAGTGACAAGAAAAGTTTCATACATAAATATCATGAAAATTTTAGCCGTGTAGTTCCGTTTTCTTTTTCAAGTAGAAAGAACTTCATTACTAAAAATGAGTTTCAGCTTTTCATCGCGATTCCAAAAAGATAATCTGTAAAAACTAGTTTTCCAATTACTAATTTCAAGTATATTATTTAGAAATTTTTCAACTTTCTTTCATTTCAGATTCCTGCGCGAGAATTTACCGCAATGACAAACGATGAATGTAACTCTTTTTCTACGCGTGTTTTGATTTTGATAATTGTGATTTCAAACAATTTGTATTCAAAAAACTGCGTTATTATGTAGATTGTCAGAATCGAGAAGGAAAGCTGTTTAGGATGATTGTTGCATCTAGATTTTCACTGGCTGAATGGTTCAAGATTCTCATTTCATTATTGATGACCAAAACTAACCCGTCTCGTTGGCTGAGCTGGCGGCGTGGGCGGCGTCCTTGGTGGCGTCGTCGGAGGCTGCGGTGATCGTGGCGGGGTCGACGAGGGCCGGCGATGTTGTGCCGGAAGAAGAGGACTCGGCGAGCTCTTCTTGGTCGCTCTCCGGGACGACCTCGTCCTCTTCTTCCAACTCCGGCTCCCCTCCTTCTTCTCCTTCTTCGTAGCCCGGAGTGGCGTCGTGGCCATTTCTGGCTTGCTCGACGCCACGTTCCGGCGTGCGGAAGACGTCCGGGCTTTCTCCTCCACTTCGCGACCTCTTGACGGAGGGTCCGTCCGAGTGGGAAGAAGAGCTTCTTCTCCGCTTCCTGGGACTTGCCTGGTCCATCTAAATTTGTTTCTGTTAATTTTCAAGTTGGAAGAATATGAAGTATCCGTAAAACTTTCTTTCTCTCTCTTTCAAATCTACAAACTCTTTCCGTAGCCCTGATTTCATTTGAAGAAATAGGAAGTTCAAGAAAATTTTTCCCATTCGTTTAATCCCGATCTCATTTTCAGAAACCACAACGGCAGGCCTTCCAATTTACCTTCACTCGAAAATTCTCAGGTACACTGATTCGAATAGCGATAGCTTTACATAAAGAATTAGCAGTTTGAAAAGTTTTTAAAAATAGCTTTTAAAAAAATTAAATAGCTTTCGAACTTTTTTTCACCTATTTTATGAAAGAATAAAACTATCAAGGGTTATCATTATTTCACTTCAATAACAATAAAAAAATTACATAATTCTTTTCAAAGTAATTTATTGAAACGCTCTGAAAAGTTTGAATCTTTTTTTGAAGTCGAAAAGCTTTTTATGTTATAGAAACAGTTTATTTATTATGATCCGGTTAAAGAAAGGATTTCGGCTAACTTAGATATTATATTGAGAAAATTAGAAAGTATAATGCCGTGTTCAATTTGATTCCGCGAAATGCAAAATGGTCTCTGACTCTCCAAAATTTAGTGATCTTTTCCTTTCTCTAACGGGTATTTTGCATTTCGCGGAATCAAATTGAACACGTCATAAAAAAATAAAATCAAAATTATTAGAAAAGGCTCCGAAAAAGGAATTCGAGACATAGACTGAAGCTCTCTAAACCAGCTTCGTAATGGATTAAACGTGATTTTAAAAACTTTTTCAAATTGGCAGAGGTCGCCACTTATAGTTGTGATCGGGCGTGAAGGAACTGCGTTATTTTTTCTTTTAAAAGAATATTTGGTCTAGAAGCCGACTTTTTCCGTTGTTGTCATTATTTTGAAAGTCTTCGCAGTTGAAGTTCAAAATACTTGAAGTTTCCTTTAGATGGGTATTTTTGAAATTGATATATTAATTAAGCTTTTTGTTGAAGGTTTTAATATGAAAGCTAATCGCCGACTTCGGTTGTCTTTTTTTTTAACCCAGAACTTCACAATTTTCTGAGAAGTATTATCGAAGAGCTAATTTCATGTCGAGACAGAGATTTGAACTTTTTGTAAAGACTCTTGAAGGCATTTTTTTTCATAAAGTGCAGTGCCCATAGTGCCCGCGACAGCTTCGAAAATAAAAATTTCATGAAAAAAAATCCTCACTTCAGGGCGGAGAAGAAGCTCAGCTTCGTCCTCTTGCGGCTGGATCTCGGCGGCCTTAAATCATTCACTTCGTTGCTTAATTAGCAAAATGTTTGTGTATATATTTTTTTAATTCAAAAGGCTTATTGTAAAAACGGAAAATATGAAAAGTCTGATTTCGAATATAACTTGGAATTTAAACTCTGAACTTTGAAATAGATCCTTTACAATTTCATGGCAACTAGTACTAGATAATTTTTTTATTTAAAAAAAGAAAATCTCACCAGCTCCGCTTCGACGGGGATGTCGATGGCCAGAACGGCGGCCTAAATGATTTCACTTTGATTTTTTTCTATGTTTTATTGGTTTCTGATAACTCGTCCAATCGATTATTCCAGACATGAAAGGAGGTTACTATAAAAAAGGCAACAATATTTCGAACTAAAACTTTTCCGATTTTTTCATATCTCTAGGGAACTATCCAACTTTTTTTCTCTTTTTATTTTTTTCGGTTTATAAAGCATTTATTCATATTTTTTTTTTTTTGTGTTTTAATCATGAATCGATTACCTACTTTATATAGGAACATTTAAAAATAAGAGTTTAAAAAGTCGGAAAAAACTCCGTCGAAAAGTTCCCTAGCGAAAATCGGTAAAGTCGCCGTTCGAAACTCGCTGGCCTTTTTTTTCATACTACCGAAAGGAGTAAATGTTGTAATAAAGAGCTTGACTATTGACTATTTCAACACATCAGCTTTGATTGAGATAGAAAAGAGCTTCAAATGGATTCGATCATGTTTTGAAGTCAAGTCGATGTATTTTAAGCAATAACTGATCTGCCAAACTTCTACAGGTGATTAATTCAGTTTTCAAGTAACCTGGAGTTGGGCAGCCAGCCTGCCTTTCTCCTCCTCGGCTTGGGCGAGCCTGGCGCGGAGAAGTTGAAGTTCCTGGCGCAGGACTTCTTCTGCAAATGATTTTATTAATGAATTCATGAAAAAGAGAAATGACCTTGGGCCAAGGAACATCCCAGCGCGAGCGTCGTCTGGGCCAGGTTCGCCGTCAGACGGCCGTTTTCGGCTTTCGCCTCGATCGTCTTCTTCTTTTCTTCCCTATAACATTACTGAATTGATTGAAAGTTGTGACTTCAATTTTATTTTCTGTGAATATTTTTCTCAGCTTGGTTTCTTCTCACTTTGATGATACACTTGCTTAAAATCGCGACCGAATAATTCTTCAATCACACTTTTTCTATCATAATTTTTTCTCTGTTCAAAGTTTTTGGAAATTCTTGCAGTTCGAAACAATATTTTTACTCCAAGGTGATACAGCTTCTGATTGATAGGGTTCAGTAAAAAAATAAAAATAAAAAAAACCGAATTTTCGAAAAAGTAAAAAGTAGTACCTTGGTTTTATGCGAAATTCGATCTTTCAAAAAATCGGTTTCAGAATCGAATGATTATTTCTCTGTATAAGACTTAGTTTCATCTTCTAGTTTATTCAGTTCTTATTTGGGCTTCTGATAAATTCGTACCTCAACTCTTCGTCTCTTTTTTTGAGCTCTTTTTCGAGCTCCTCCTTTTTCTCCTTTTCTTCGGCCCACGCCTCGTCGGTTTCCGTTCCGGCGTCCTTTCTCGGTGGTCCTGAAAAAAGGTTTAAATATTTTTTTTATCTGTGATATTGATTTTTTTTTATTTCTCGCTAGGGAACGTTTTTCAGCCCCGGGTTGAACTTACGACGATACTTCGCTAAATTGCTTTTTAAGATCTCCCTCGGACATTGGTAACGCGAAACGGACGTGCTCCGGACGACTCTGCGCGATTCTAGGAATCACTTGAGAGTTCTGAGGCTACTAAAGTAGTCACTAGAAAGGCCCCGACACGTCCGATTCGCGTCCCATTAGCCTTACCAAGGTCTGAGCCTAAATAAAAAAAAACCTATATCCGGTTCTCAGGGTTAGGACGCTCCAACAGCTTTATATATTTTGTTTATGGAAAAAAAGTATATAGAAAAAGAGCTGGGATTTCTTTCTTTTCAATTCAAATTTCACTGGTCTCGCTGTTTTTTTCCATCGTTGAGTTAATTTTTGAATAGTTGACAGACTTGATATAAGCTGCAAAAAGGGCGAAAAAGTTGTCAAATCCCTTTTTATTCATTCATTTTTCTTTTTCGGTGAAGTACTTCTAGCTGTAAGCTTTGTCCTAGTCAGGTACTGATGTGGATCTTAAATATTTTTTCAAACAATTCAATTTTTCGATTTATTAAAAAAATTTCATACTCGAAATCTCCGTATTTGATCAAAAAAGTTCGACCTACTAATAATGATCAACTCGTAGAGAGGATAAAGACTTTTCTTCTCATTTTGGACGGATTTTTCGTCTTCCTTATCATGGTTACAAATTTCCAAGTTTCCAGAAGCTTTGCAGCCTATCTAGAATTTGAGCAAAAAATCGTGAACCGTTTTTTTGCTGGAAGCTTGAAAAGTTGGATTCGTCAAGTTAGCTGAGAATCGTGAGAATGACTGATACTTCTGAAACTGTTCTGTACCTCCGTGCTGAGTCCTGGCCTTCAGCGTATCCAGGAAGTAGCGGATACGCTGTTCTTGGGCGGCCAGAGCACGGTCGACCACTCTTTCCGGGAGCCGCTGAAAATGTTTTTTTATTGCGGTGGTCAAAAAAATATTTTTTAGAAAAATTTCATGATTTTTCGTTATATGCTGAAACGCATGAACTTTCTTATTTTCATGCGTCCAACTCTCGCAATTATTTCTTTTCTTCGAGTATTCTTTCTGATGCGTGAGAGCTTTCCCATGTGTCTACGAAAAGGAAAGTGCGAGCTATTTCGCAAAGTAGGAGCTTGTATTTCGCAAAGTTGAGGTGTTCCGTTTTATCGAAAAAAAAAAGCTCACCGCGGTTTGATTGCCGCAGTCGCGGCTTGGGCGGTCCTCCTGAAATTTCGAATTATTAATTATTCGTAATTGAAAGGTTTTATTCTTGAAATAAGGATAAATATATAGGAAAAATTTAAATTTTTTTAAAATTTTTCAAAATGTCTCCATCAACATTTTTCGCGCAGTCGAAGCGAGTATTTATGTGAAATCAGCTTGAAAAAGTCTCACCTGAGCTTCGAAATAAAGCTCAACGTCCTGGCCATCACGCTGGACCAGAACCTCATCGAACACCCACCTTTCCTAAATAGATTATCGTTAAAAGTTTTCTGTTTTTCATTCTTCTTTTCTACTAAACTTTTTTTGGCCTTAATCTATTCATTAATGAAAAAAATTTTTTTCAAATGTTTTTTTAAGAAAATTACTTGACAACTTTGCGATTTTTGAAGAGTGACTTGACTTCAAAGTGACTTTTTTCCGGGGAAAGAAAGTTGTTGTGTTATAAAAATTCGAGCACTTAGGTCTCAAAGATATATCAAATTCTATAAAGTTTAGTTTAATGAAGACTTATAAAATTTGAAAGTACTGATAAAAAAATACAATCATACAAAGTTCGAAAAGAAATTGTAGAAAGAGCCTAAGTCGATTTCTGAACGCTCAGCTTCTTCGTTTACTTAGTGAGAACAATTTTTACTATAAAATTCAAGTAAACGAAAAAAATTAGCAATATTAGCAACATCTTTTTCATTTTTTTGCAACGCTGATGCTGTCCCATTTTTTTACAAAACTTGAGAAAAGAAAAATCCAACCTCGTCGGTTTGTGAGCCGGCGGATCTTGTGGTCTGAAAAATTTGAAATTATTTTTTTGTGAATTCTTGTAAATTTTTGGCCCTGAAAAACCTTCATATAAATATACTCGGAACGAAATCCTATTGCTAAAGATAGGAATTTTTCAAAGTATTAATATTTTTTTCGGCAATCGGGCAAAGCTTGAGTTGCTAAGGTTTTCATCCAAACGCAAATTCTGCTCCGATTTTTTTATTCTTGAAAATACCCGTGTTCAAAAAAAGTTTAGAAAGAAAAAAAAGAAAAAGTCTAATCGTTCATTTACAGTCGTTTTTCAGGTTGGGACATTCAAATTGGTTGTCGGTTTTTCCTTCGAGTTTGAAGGTGATGTTTTTTATAGAAATGGTCTTAATTTTTTTGCTAAAAAATTAACAGAAATCTGCAAAAAGCCAAAAAAAGTTTAACTCCTTGCAGTTTATCATCTTTCGAAGTTTTCAAGCCTTTGAAAACCTATTTTTCGGCTGGGAGAAGTAGAAAAAATAGCAGAGCAAGAAAAAGCTCGAATTACGGTAGTTTCTTTTTCTGTCTCGATACAAGATGAGAGCAATTTTTACGAGACATTCCGAGACGAAATCTCATCTCAAAACGTCTCGAAAAAAATCTGAGGAGTTCAGCAAAAGACGTTGAAGTTTGATATAAGACTGATTTTTAAATTATATTTTTTTAGGCTAATTTTTTTAGAATTATTCAATTCAGTCCGTGTTCGAATCGAACAAAAAGATTTGAAAAAAATTCTATGAAATAGCCATTTTCTCTCCGAAAAAAAATAATTTAAGAAAAAAACGAACCTGGTGGATGTTCATCTGGGCGTCCATTTTGCAGGTTGTCGAATAATACTGAAATAAAGGGCAAATTAATTTACTATTATCGTTTTTTTGTTTTTTGTTTTTCTCCTTTTTTTCTGATTATTTTGTCAACTTTTTGAAATTCAGATGCAAACTTGTTCTGCGCCATTTACGTTTAGGCTTAACTTTCTATCGAGATTCAAATATCGATGATTCTGAAACAGCCTTGATTTTTCACCAAAAAGCCGTAAGGTTATCTCAAATTTGGCTTTTTTTGAATGGAAATTTATTATCCGTAAGTTCAAAATCGGCTTCATCGAAGTCGGAAATTTTTTAGAAAGAACTTGAGTGTACATCAAACTTTGAAATTCTCCAAAAAAATTGACATCTTATTTGCTAAAGATAAAAAAATGATCTCAACCTTGCTAATATCTTAGTTAGCCAGAAATGCATACTTTTTTTGAGTTTCAGAATCAACGATGTGAGCATGAATAAAAGTTGAGCTTCTAGAAAAATATGTTTTTTTGTTGATATTTTTCATTTTATTTATTCCTCACATTCTTATCACTTTCGATCCGAAGAATCTCAGACTTCACTCAGGGTTTTGTGCTAGAAAACTTATATTTGTTTTCTCAACGCGTTTTGAGACTTGAAGTCTTTTTTTCTCATTAACATTGCTTCAGAGCCTTCTTCCGGGATTCTAGTTCATTGGTGCTAGATTTCAGACAACTACTGTGATGTAAGTATTTTTTTTTCACACTGCAAAAACCATGTTTTTCAGAATAACCTTCATGGGAACTTCTTCTCGGAAACCGCAAAGCCAATTCTTTCTTGATATATTTTTCATATACAATTCTGGACAAAGATGTAGGAATTGAGTGAATGATACAGAAAACCTCTCTCTTCCAGCTCACAAATTTTAAACAATCGATCGAAGTCTTCTTCTACTAAAACGCATCACCAAGCGTCACTTTTTAGGGTTTTTCTTCATAAATATTATGCTTGATCTCACAGATATATCACAATTTAACGAAATTTTTTTTTCAGAAGTTTCCCGCGACTTTCTCTCGCATTGAATCGGGTGCGAAGCTTATAAAGCTAACGGTGGAGCGCACTTCCTGCACTTTCCTGCTTTATACAAAGAAACTTGCTGCATATTAAAACTTTTTTCGGGTTCCTATTTATCTAGATTGCATTCATTTTTTTTTTTCATGCTATATACAGTACGCTTTCTTGTGAAGGAATTTCGAGTCGCTTGATGTTGTACTTTAGTAGACACCCTAATAAAACGAACTTGAAATGATTTTCTTTTGTTATTTCATAGCGCGAAATCGTTCAATTACGCTCTCATACTTTTTTACCTTATAATTCAAAACTTCTTCCGCCTGAATTTCAATGATTACCAGTGTCTTGAGAATATATGGAAATTCCACGGAAATAATTGGAAAAAAATTGTTTTTCGTGTATACTTAATTCATCTTTTTTTATTCAGTTTTTGTATCGGTGAAATTTTTAGTTTTGTCAATTCCGAAAATTGAAATATTGATCAGTATGGGAGTTTGCGTCAATAGTCTACACACAGCAAACGTCAAATCTTACGCGCATTGACGCGCTAAGTTTGTTACATTTCTTGTATTTCTATGATTAAATCAAAACTCTAATAGTTTATTCATTCTCTGAAAAAATTGAGAGCTTTGTAACAGAAAGAAAGTAGGATAGACGCGTTGATTTTTTTCCACGGATGATGTTCTTGTGAAAAATAAAAGTGTATTAGCTGGAAGAAAAGAGGTTTTTCAATTTTTCAACTGTTTCGATCTACACTAGAGTTCTCAAAACCAAACGTTCGAACGAACGTTCGACCAAACATTTTTCGAACAAATGTTGAAACCAAACTTTTGGTTCAAGTTTGCTTTTTGAACGTTCAACCAAAATGAACGTTCATTTTTCCGTTCGTAAAAAAAGTTCGTTCAAAAAATGAACGTTCATTTTTCATTTTCAAAAAGTTCGTTCAAAAAATGAACGTTCATTTTTCATTTTCAAAAAGTTCGTTCAAAAAATGAACGTTCATTTTTCATTTTCAAAAAGTTCGTTCAAAAAATGAACGTTCATTTTTCATTTTCAAAAAGTTCGTTCAAAAAATGAACGTTCATTTTTCATTTCCAAAAAGTTCGTTCAAAAAATGAACGTTCATTTTTCGTTCGTAAAAAGTTCGTTCAAAAAATGAACGTTCATTTTTCATTTTCAAAAAGTTCGTTCAAAAAATGAACGTTCATTTTTCATTTTCAAAAAGTTCGTTCAAAAAATGAACGTTCATTTTTCATTTTCAAAAAGTTCGTTCAAAAAATGAACGTTCATTTTTCATTTTCAAAAAGTTCGTTCAAAAAATGAACGTTCATTTTTCGTTCGTAAAAAGTTCGTTCAAAAAACGAACGTCCGTTTTTTTATGTGAAAAGCAAACGTTCATTATTATAAGAAAACGATTTTCGAACTTTTTGGTTGAACGTTTGAAAATGATATATCCTAAACTATCGAAAAATGAAAAAGTTCATTTTTTTCAAACGGTCATTTTTTGAACGTTCGGTTTTGAGAACTCTAATCTACACGTGTCGATATCTCTATTTTCAAATATTTTTTTCAAATACAAAAAAACTGCGGGGCTTGGCGGTCTTTAAACAAAAACTAGGCTTGACGGAGCTCTCAACACACACACTAGCTTTCAAATAATTGAAAGTTTTTAAATATAAAACGAAAAAAATAACCAACCTTTTATCAAATGCAGAAGCAGTTGTAAAATTTGTTCAATACTGTTTTTTCACTTTTTTTCGATGTGGTCAAATTTGGTCTACGTGGGTTTTTTTATTTCTTCCGCGTGATCATATTTGGTCTACGTGGCTATTTCATCGACCTCTCTTGGCATGTCTAATTTTGAAGATTTCGGATTCTTTTAGAGTTAAAGTTATTTGAATTCCAATCGAAGTTTTTCAGGGGAAGGGAAATCTTTTCTTGCTCCTTGAAAATTTTGATCGGCGCCATCATTTTTATTTTTTATATTTCGCGAAATACGAAATTTCGTAATCTAATTATATTTTTGCCTCTAGTTTCAGGGCATGTTCGCATTTCAATTTCATTTGAACCTGGATAGCTTCGACTTTTTCGGCCATCATCTTTCTTAATGATCATGTTTTTCCAATGCTTCACAAAATAAAAAAACTTGGTCATGACCAAAATACTCCTGTTGATTATATAAAATGGAGTAATTTTTTTATTCGTCAATTTTTTTATTTTTTTCATGGTTTGTTTTTTTGATGCTGGTGCTTTCCATTCAAGTTTTTGATATTTCAGGTTTTTCAGATTGGATATAACACCCAATATTGCTGACTATCACATCGAGAATAATGCTATATCGTTCGCCTCTCTCTGCGACCTCGCGAACGTCTTGCGCTATATCGCTCTCTGAAAAAAATTTTTTTGTTCAAAAAAATTTTTTTCTTGATTTTGATTTATTTCATCATAATAATCAAAAATTAAGCAAAAAAATGTTTTTTTCTAATTTCAAATTTTTTTGAGAGGGAGCGATATGGCAGCGAGACTAAGACGAGGTCGCAGCAAGATCCCTTTGGCTATATCGCCTGCGGCCCGCTGCGATATAGGCAATTATGTTGGGTGAATATTGACAGTAGGAGGTTTTTTTTAAAGAAGAGAATTTTTTTATTAGTAAGCTCGTGCAAATTTATACAAACTCAATATCGGCTTATACATATTTGATCCATGCTTGAAGAAACTTCACGGTTTTTGGCGAATATAGTTTTTCCGGAGCCGATTTGTTTTTTTTTTTTCACTCGGTAAAAAAAAATATTTTCAACTCTTTAAAAAGCTCCTAAAAGCACTTCCCAGGATTTATCATAGTTCAAAACTTTTCTTCGTTTCTTGCAGTTTTTTCTCTTTGTTTACCTCATTTTTTCAGATAACTGAGGCACGGACTATGTAATTACATAAACCGAAAGTGCGTCACTAATGCTTCACTATTTAGTCGTCACAGAACGTTTTATATAAAAGAGAAAAAACTGCAAGAAACGAAGAAATTTTTTCTTTTTTCATATCACCAGCGAAGATTCGAACGGCGACTTTTCTGACTTTTTCATATCGCTAGGAACTTTTTGACGGAGAAATTTCCGACTTTTTATCCTCATATTTTTCGGTTTATAAAAAGTCTGTTATTATCTTTTTTCTTATTTCTTTCTCCTTCATGTACCACCTCTCCGCGGTGATGGGGATCAACGACCATTTATGGCGGCAACGTCATAAATGGCGGCTAACGGTGTTTATCATGTATCAACTACCTCCTTTATATAGAAAGATTCAAAAAGAAGAGTTTATCGATAAAAATGACGGAAAGGTGGCCGTCGGAAAGTTCCCAAGCCATATGAAAAAGTCGCCGTTAGAATTTTCGCTCGTCTTCTTTTCATACCACACAACTTTCGTTGGTCATCTCGCTTTTTTTGTAATATAGTGTGTTCAGATTTTGAATGTCAACCAGCAAACTCCGCCCCTGCTGAGACGGTATATCCCATTCACGGCTGACTCGGGACAGCGAACGGGCGGTTTAATTTTCGCGGCGAAGGTAGATCATGGCGACTATCCATGCGCTTTTAAAAAGATCCTCATTTGATGAAATGATTTTTTTTCAATTGAATCCATAAAATTCCAATTTTTTGACTTATTATTCATATTTCGTATTTTATTGACTTTTAGAAAATCTTAAAGCCAATGATATGAATCTAAATAAAAAATAAAGTTAATAGAAACAGAATAATGCATCAAATGAACTCTTATTAAAGGCGCATGTATGGCCGCCATGATCTATCATCGCCGCGCAAGTTAAACCGCCCGTTTGCTGTCCTAAGCCAGCCGTGAACGGTCTACACATTTTCGCGTCGATTTTTTTTACCGCGGGGGACGGTTTTTGATGTTTTTCGATTCAACAGATGGAAAAAAACGTCAAAAAAATGCACTATCACTATCAAACGATCATCGTCACCTGCGATAAAACATTGACGCGAAAGATATAGCCGTGTAGCTTTATGGGTGGAGTTATAGCTGATACATGGCCAGCTTGGGACGCTAAGGGGGCGTGTCCTGTCTGCTCTCTCAACGAGCCAGACGCTGTCTCGTGCATTATCGTGCCAGGAACATTTTTTCGATGGCTCGAGGCAGCCGTGAATCAGCTATAACTCGGACGATTTATGACTCATCGTTTTTATTGATTAAAATCAGTTTTTCGATAGTTTAGAGACATAGCTGCTTGACATTGAAAATCCGAACATACTTTATTTCGCTATTTTTTTTCTGTTTTTTCAAAGTTTTTCTTTCTCTTGAATGAATTTAAGTTTCAATCGCGTTCAAGCGAATTTTTTTTTTGCCGATTGAATTAAAGGAAATCTGAAAAAAACATGTGTTTCCACAGGTATTTACTTCATTCAAAAATACCTTTGCCTTATCTTAAGATTTTGAAAAGTTTTTTTCATTTTTATACCGCGAAAGAAAGTTTCATATAATTATAAACCTGGAAAGACGATTATTGAAAGTTGAAAAGTATATTTTTTTCGAGCGAAAGCAGGGTAAAAAAACATTTTTTTGAAAGAAAATACTTGAGCGGATTAACAAATAGAGTTCTTTGAGAAAGAGCTGGTCCCTTAAATTAAATGGACTGCAAATCGTAGATGGCGAAGGTGAACAGAACATAGAAACATTGAAGAAGGTTCATTTCGTGAAACGGACGCGAATCAGGAGAGCAACGAGTCCGATGGCGCGATAAGCGACAAATGAAAAGGCCATTATCCCGATGTTGAGCCAAACCGTCGTGTCGATACTTCGGCGGTCAAGAACTTCTGAAAGAAAATAATAAAGCATAGACAAAGTCGGAATGGTTGGGAAAAGGCTGCATAGAAATTTTCCTTTTAGGGTGACAGAGGCTCCTTTTTTGCTGCCTTTTCGCGCCATTTAATCGGCCTTTATCACCATTTTTGCTGCCTTTCCCTTTTTCTACCATTTCTTGAGACTTTAAACCCCAGAAAAAATAGCAGGCTCGATTGAGGGACCTTTTTGCTGTCTTTTTGCAGCCTTTTTTGAGCCTCTTCCTTTTAGCGGGCATTATCCACCTTTCCGATTTTTCAGCTCTTTCGAGAATAATGAGAACATTGAAAAAAACTTTGAAGAAGCTCTGAGAAAGTTCGAAATTTCATAAAAAAAGTTTTTCCGCAAGTTTTTTTGATTTATTTCTTTACCGATCCCCATTTTCACAGAAAAAAACTTTTTCAGCTGCTTGTTTGAATTTTTTTTACTTTAATACTTCCTGATTCAAGAAGGAGAATTTTCAATGTCTTCACGAAGTCGTTTTTCAACGAACTTTTCAATTTCTGCCCTACAAATTTCAAGTAACGATTTTACGTATACTCTTGTAGTTTCCAAATTTTGAAGGATCCAAACTCGTAAACTTTTCTTTTGTCGAAATTGTAAACTAAACACTCTTCATAGGAAGCTTTTCAAATCATCGCTTTTCACTTCATCCAGGTCTCAAAAATAAAAGAACCTCACCATCGCCAGTTTTCGCCGGACAATAGAGCAATTTTGAGCCACTGCCGCCACAATTAATATTCTCGTACTGAAATAATTAATTTCCTTCAACTTTTTTTGTTTCAAAACTACTCACGTCTCCCCATTGATTGACTTCGAGCGCTTCGAAACCGTGTTTGAACCAAGAAAGGTTGGAAATCGCTTGAAAGTAGGAGGGAATCGATTTCGCATTAATGTAGAAGCCTGAATGCTTTTTTATTGAATATTCAATTTGAAACTTAATTTTTTTGGAAACATCTAAAGCTTGAAATATTCGAAATTTTGATATGAGCTGATTCGTGTCATCAAAAAATAATAGAAAACTAACGATGAGAAATTGATTGTTACTGGGAATGGATCAAGCGACGCGGTCGCGTCGCGGCTTACAAAAGTTCATTTTTTTCATTTCCCACGATTTCTCGTCATTTTTCGTACTTGGAATTTAAAAAAAAATTGAAAATCAAGCAGATTTACTGTGAGAATCTTTAAAAACTCAGATTACTCAAATTTTATTGAATATTTTTCTCCTTTTTTTCTGCTACTTTTCGGAAAAATTTCAAAAATTCACAAAAATTAGAATAAAAGCTTTAAAAAAATCTAGCATCAAAAAAAGTCACGTGACGCGGTTGCGTCGCTTCTTGAAAATCAGAATAAGTCATTCATTTTAAACGCGGCTCTCAAATTTTCTTACCTCCAAAAACGAGCATGGGGAGGACGAACATCGGCATATAAGTCACCACCAAACCTTCATCGAAGAAGATACAGGCGCCAACGTAAGCTGAAAAAAATCCTGGGAACAGAACAGAGGGGCCTGAAGAGACGTCAGAGAAACAGAGAGTCTCTACTTCTCTGGCATCTCTTCGAATCATCCTTCTTTCTAACCAAGAGACACGGCGATCCAAGTGAGCTGAATGCAGACAAGGACGAAAATTAGAAATTTGAAAGCGTCAGATTCGAAACCGGTCATCCAATAAACCAATGTAGCGTATATCATTGGCAGGGCCGTGTACTGAGGAATCTGAAAGCATTTTTTAAAAAAAAGCAAGTTCAGGGTCGCATTGGGAATGGATTAAACTTCAAAGTGACCCTCACCCGACCAATCAACGAGTTTTGCGCAAAAGTAGTGGGAAGCAAATCGGAAAACTTTATTATTCCAGGATAAAAGTTTTTTGTTGAAATATCTACAATTGAGCATTTTTAAAAGCAAAATATCAATTTCATAGATTCTATGAAACAATAAGGTGATCAAAGTGAAGATTTAATAACCGGAAAACTTTTTTTCGCTTTTTGAGTAAATTTTTTGGAGAATCCGCGGTCATTCCAAATGCGACCATTTGACGATTAAGATGTATAACATATTTTCCCAGAACGTTTTGGGCCGTTTTCAAAGCGTTACCGAAGAAAAATGAAAATTTTGAGCTTTCGTATAAACTATATAGTCGATAAAAAAACTCAGTTTTTTATTTTTAAAATACACAAAAACTGCAAAAAACTGTTTAAAAATATAATCAGTCGCGCATTTCGAAAATAAGGAGTTTAGAAAATTTCCTTTTTCAACTTTTTTATTTTTTGTCAGAATATGTCCTTCATGGTATCCAGAAATGAAAAAAAAGGTTTCCAGAAAATTTCAAGGAAAAACGGGATATTTATCCATTTTCGGCCAGAAATTCGTTTTAAACTGTCGTCAAACATTTTTATTTCTTATTTCTCAGTATTCTCTTTTACGTAGGATTGTTAAGAGTAGTCGATTGACCAATTTTTTCCCAAATCAGTGCAAGGAAACTGTTTTAAAATTCGAAAAACAATCAAAATGCAACGAAAATGACGTTTCTTGATCACTGAAGTGGGCGGGGCTCTGCGGTCCCTAGATATATTATCGTAAAAAGTTACCTCTGCCAGATTTTTGGCGAGATAATAAGCGTGAACCGAGTAGATCCGCGCTTTCGTTTCGCGTAGAAAGACTGGCAGTTCGCTGGTTATTACCTGAAATTTTCGGTACTCCAATACTCCATTCGTCACGACTTGGAACCGTCTATCTTCTCTGCGCTCTCTTTCTTTTTCCCTTTCTCAGCAAAATTCTCAAGATGAAGTGCTCTCTGGCCTCGCCGGCGAGAGAAAAGAGAGTGCAGACAGGTCAGACTGTTTCAATGACGCACATTGACAGAAGGAAAGTAGAATAGAAATGTCATATCACGGGCGCAATTGTACATGACGCCTTCCAAATTTTGAATAGTAGGTCCAGAGATTTGGGTCCGAAAGTTGACCAGGCCGATGACGAACGCGGTTATCTGGGAAGACTTTTTTTTCAGAAATATCTCTTTTTTCAATTTTAAATTGGTGTGACGATAGATACACCACTTCTGAAGAGACGGCAGAGAAAAAAAATCTTTAATTCTCTGGCGTCTCTTCAAGCCTTCAGGATCCCTTGCTCTACTACCTATATGAATCTTCAGTTGATTCGAAAATGAAACGGAAAAAAAATGAGAAAAAGTTAGAGATAACAACCCTATGAAGAGACGAGAGAGAAACGAGAGTGCTACCGCTTCTCTGGCGTCTCTTCAGGCCGCCATTATCTCCCGCTTTTGCTGTTTCGAGCCAAAAATTCTGATTAATAATCGAAAAAAAGATTGAAAAATCACTTTGTCCCTAAGGAAAAAGATGCTTCAAATGATTTATGAAAAGCGAAAAATTTTTTTCCAACCAATCGAGCCGGCAAATTTTCTTCCCCTTCTGGATCCGAACCAGTGACCCTTCGGACATCGTTCAAAAGGCCATCCACTGCCCCACTTACCACAATTTGAATGAATCGGACTTTCAGGAGCATCGGATCTCGGATCGTCGTTTTGAAGGATCGCAGGAGAAGGATCCAGAATTGCATGAGGAATGTTGAAGCGTAGCCACTTGAATATTCATTTATTATTATACTTTTTCTTAAAACTCAACAGTTTGACTTTCTCTTCGAGTTTTTGGCTTCTCGAAGAACTTCCGAATTTATTTGCGGCCGAGAAAGTTTTCCGTCCCACTTCGCTGTCTTCATAAGCTTTTTGTCATCGTCTGAAAACGCATTTTTTTCAGAAAAAAATCTGTAGACTACAAATTCGATTCGATTTTTAGTATTTAATAGGGGATAGCTAACTAACTTCGATTAAAAAGTACCGTGGCCGCATTTGGAATGGCTCAATGTAATTGCGCATATTCTCCCTAGATTATCCAAACTTCAAAACGTCAAGTCATATTTTTTTAAAAAGAATAAGAGATTATATTAGAAATTTTTTCCCAATCTCGCAAAAGTGGCCCTATAGCGGTTTAAGTAAGCGGCCTCTATAGGGGACATGCTGGTCGATTTGATTTGAGAACAAAAGACTCACTAAATTAGCGTCATTTGGATGAAAAAAGGACTCTAAACCATATAAGGACCACTCAAATTTAACACCTAAAGAGAAACTTTTTCTCCTAATTTACCCCTTACCCCTACAGGGATCACTTTGGCGTTCCTAAGGTCAAGATTTCGTAAGAATATCACAGTTTGAACATCGAATTATCATGACTTCTGAATATTTTATTTCAAAAAAACCTCGATTCTCTTCCGATCCTTCTCCTGTGTTTCCGGCAGCATTGACAATTTTGCGATTACAAAATCGGCTGGATTATAATTCTCTGGAACCCTAAGTTCTGGGCCCAAGCTGTTCAAAAAGGGGCAGAGTTGGTCGACGGGGCCATGATAAGCCGTTTTTCCATTCGCCATGAAGCAGACCCTGAAAAGATCACTTTTTAAAGTTTTTCAACATACAAGTCAATGTAAACTTAAAGATTGATTATAGAAATTTGGAGGAAATGGTCTTGAAACGATTAGCAACCTAAAAAAAACCGTACCTAATTTTCTTCAGTGAAAGTTCTAAGGGGCGATATGCTTTACACGTCCCGACTTGAGAATTTCTGACATGTCTGTACCCTCTTCTCTCTAACCTGTGATGTAAAAATCATAGAAATAGATATGGTCAATGTTTCCCGACTTGAAAGGCGAAGGAGGCGGGGCAGGGGGCGGGACGCGTAGCGTGTGCGCTCGCGATTTTTGGCACGAGTTCAATTCAACCGCCAGCGACTCTTTGGAAAGCCCGTTTTCCGCTCATTTTATTCCTCTATCAATTATTTATTGATTAGTTTCATGTGTGCCTCAAAAAATAGTAGAACACGTTAAAAAAGAGCAGTCGCCGAGCTTTTTGAATAGTCGGGGGCGATTGAATTGAGTTCGTGCCAAGAGCCGCGTACGCACACGCTACGCGTCCCGCCCATTGCCCCGCCTCTCTCCGCTTTCAAGTCGAGAAACATTGACTATAGAGAAGAGAGCACAGAAAGATCAAGAAAGGAGCTTTTTTCTTTTGCTAACTTTAGCTTGATTTTCTGAAAATCTACTTGTGGAACATTTTGAAGACGATGCTGCTGGGCTGGTGGAGTACGGTGATGATGGCTTTCCCCTTGGCGGCCTGATTCAGAAGCGCCTGGACGACTTGGGAAGCCATGAAGGCGTCGAGGCCGCTGGTTGGCTCATCACAGAAGATGACATCCGGGTCCGTGAGTAGCTTCAATAAAACTACTATGATCAGAAAATCAACCTAGAAATGAACAATTCACAAAAAATGAGTCAGAAAAAACAGCGTGGCCGCGTTGGGAATGGCTCAAAGAGACGCGGTGGTGATTCAGTTCGGTGTATACTTTAAAATGGACGCTCTGCATTCTAGCCATTCCAAATGCGACCATATATTTTTATATTTTGAGCAAATCGATTTTTGTGGTTTCACGCTACAAAAAAATTTTTTATGTCGCGACGGGGATCGAACTTGTGACCCTTTGATCCGTAGACAGGCACGCAACCTGTTGCGCTGAATTTGAATAGATAATACCTCGCAAGCAAAGGCCAGCCGTTTCTTCTCGCCGATTGAGATTCCTTTCAGCCGACCGGGAATGCCAATCAACGTGTCTTGACAATCGGTCAGGTTCATCTCCGTGATCAAGTTCGCGACTGTTTCGATTTTTGTCGCCCTCGGAACTTCGGAAGGCATCCGCATCATTGCCTGGAAAAGACCGGAAGTTACCGGCAAAAAAAAACGCCAGAGTGGTTAGTAGAGGGACAATCATAGGGGCACTTGACAGTACTCTCTAGGGACCACTTCACATGCTGCAAGAGCTTGCAAAAGTGGCCTTTCTAGGGGAACCAAGTTATTAGGCTATCTCATTGAATGACCCAATTATTTCTCAGACTTGAAAGGACTTCTCTGCTCCCTCCTCGTCTCTCGTATACCCTCTGATTTTAACATTCTGTTTTCATCTTTCTCTGACCTAGCCGGTGAAAGAACAGAGACGCAGACACTAGAAAATTGTCCTTCAGCGGAAAATACCGGAAGGCTTTTGGAAAGACGAACCGAGTAGACGAGCTGCTCTCGGACGGTCAAAGTCCCGCAGAACATGTCGTGCTGCTGAACGTAGGCCGAAATTTGCCGCATCTCGCGCTGGTCGACCTCGGCGCCGTTGACGAACACGTTGCCCTGGAACTCGACTCCTTTGGTCGGTAGATGGGCCAGGATGTTCATCAAAGTCGTCTTTCCTGCCCCGCTGCCGCCCATCATCGCCAGAACTTCTCTTGGATAGGCCACGCCGGATACTGAAAAGGTTTCAATAATTTCGAAATTCTCCTAAGTAGAGTATAGTCAGTTCACCACGACTTGACAGTTTTCGCGTGTCGGCGTCTCTCTGTTCCCTCCCTGACGAGGTCAGAGTAATATGGAAATAGCACGTAAACATGAGAGAGACGTCCAGAGACGAAGAGGGCGCAGAGAAGTGCCGCCCTTCAAGTCGCGAAAAATGGCAATACTTTTTAGTGGCCACTATAGGGTTTTGACGTTTTAGTGGCCACTATAGTAGTCAAATTAGTGGCCACCATAAATAGGGTCCGCAAGCCATTTCTTCAAAACGATCCAAAAAATATGTTTTTTACACTGTTCGATAGAGGAGACTGTCCATTTTCATAATCCGTTTAGTTTTAGAAAAAAGCTCCACTAAGAAAAAAGTTATGGCCAAAAAACTAGCGCGCGCGGCGTTCAACTGGAGGCAAAATCTCACGGTTTACCCGCTGCCGCACGCTTTCTTTTTAAATGTTTTTGCGCGTTTCTGGACCGTTTTTTTAAATCGGTTTTTCTGTTCTGAGAGGTTGTCCGAACTGAGCTTCATGTTTTTGGTATGAATCTTTTGTACAATCCTCATAAGAATTTTTTTGATAAAATATCAAAAAAACTACTTAGAAAAAAAGGTCAGAAGGAATTTTTCAGCTTATTTTTTTCTTTTTTTCTAATGAGAAAAAGTTATTATCATTTGGTTTGAAAAAAAGAAAAAAATGAAAAAGTAATGTTATTTCGAAATAAAACAGGAAAATGTGCAATTTGACTCCAAAAAAACGGCTCCTGCAACATTTAAAAAGTGCGCATCGGTGTGTTTGACGCAAACACAGCTACGAACGCTTGCACGAATTCTTCCAAAATTTCAAAAAAAATTGCCATTTTTTCGAGGTTTTCAAAGCCGTTATTTTTTTCGCGTCGTTTGATTTTTTTCATAATTTTCCCATTGATAGAGTTTTGAACGCTTAATAACATAATCCAAAGTATAGACGCGATCCTATTCTCTCATTCGTCAACGAGGCAGGCGAAAAAAGGAGGTTTTGGTAAAATCCAAATATAATTTGATTCGCTGTCCCAATAATTATTTTTCATTCTGAATTTTTTTATTTTTTTAAACACATTGTGAGTTTTTTTAAATCAAATAAAAAAAGTATACCATGTCGCTGAAATTTTTTTCGCATTTCAGCTTCAAAGTTTGGTGTCACTTTACAAGCTTCGATCGCGTCGTTAGATTTTTTTAAATTTTTTTACTCAAAAAAATAAAGAAAGTGTTAATGTATAACATACTCAAAATTCGAAAGCGTTCCTCACTTGGTTTTCAGAAACGCGACGATTTTTGTGAAACTTGTCAGTTTTTTTCGTGTTAAATCTTACTTTTTCGTTTATTTTTGGAAATTACATAGTTTAAAAAAATTTTTTTCAGTCTTGTAGAGCGTTGTCGATTACATAGATCAACAGAAACAGTTCATTTTTAAAGTGGGGCTTTAGCTAGTATAAACGCCTCAAAACCGTTTCTGCAACAAAAAAATCGTCATTTTGGTGGCGTGAAGGGGCGGGGCTTTGCGCCCCCTAACCATAAAGGTCTAAGTGCTACTACAAGACCACTAAAAATTTTAGGGGCCACTTTAGGGGTCAATGGATCAACATAACTGGTCCAATCTGTTTGTTTTAAAATTATCAGAGTTACTGGAAGGAATAGTGGATGAAAAACTACTGAAGTGGCCACTAAAACGGAAATTAGTGTCCACTATAGAGGTGGGTTTAGTGGCCACTTCAAAGTCTTCTCCAAGTAGTCCTTGGCGAGCCTCTATAGTGGCCACTAAATATTTTCCCAGTAATAAAGGCATTCATCAAACAAAAAGTTGAAAAAAAGTTGAAAAAAAGTTTCTAGCCAATCAGAACTTTTCCTGCAGAGTACTTGATTTTCCAAGCATTTCGTGAATAAACTATTCATAAAAACCTTCTCGAAGGACCGTTTTCCGTTCGCCCTTTTTCTGTGGCACAGTCGCCACAATACCAGACCATGTCACCTTTTTCGGAACTCTTTTTTGTTCTGAAACCACTTTTGATTTAAATGCAAGCCTGGAATCAAAACCATTGTTAAGTAGTGGAACGTTTTCAATGTCTATTGAAACCTGAAAAAAAGATTTGTTCTAGAAAAAAGGAAACGGATCAAAAATACTTTAGAATTTGAGATCGGAGCTGTTGTCATTACGACTCGCTATGGAAATGACATTTATAACCACGCGAGTTTTTTTTAAAATAGAAAACAGAAATATTCAATAGATAATGACTTTTTAAAGTCTATCATGATTTTATGTGGGTTATTAAAATTTTTTGAAAGTACTTAGGAGCTCCAAAGTGCTCCCTATAGGGGCATTCTTAGAGCCCTTGAAGAGACCCCTCTAGAGGTCCTTTACCAACGCCTATAGGGGCCCCTTAAACTTTCATTAATGGCCTTTCAAAAGGTCGTTTATTTTTATGAACTTTATGAGAAGAAGCATATCCCTGCGAATAAAATAGAAGTGAAAAGAGAGCTAGGGAGTAAGACTTTCAACCCTTTAAGGGACCACTCTGTGTTTTCGTTTCTCCATTTTGACTGGAGACCTAAAACTTGCAGAAGTGGTCCCTACAGGAGACATGATAATTTATAATTATTAAGAACTTTGAGCGAGGAAGCATTTCCATGGGGAAAATTTAAAAAATAAGCATTTTTAATGAAACTGGAAGACCCCTATAGGGTTCACTTGAGGGGCTAAGGGGTCGGACCCTAAAACCCTAGAGGAACTCCCTTAACTTTATCCCTGTAGGGAACCTTGTTCGGACCCTATAAGGATTTGTATCCCCCGACCCCTGTAGGGACCACTCTGGAATACCTTTTCAACTTTTCTGTAGCTTTTTTGATTCCGCTACTTTTCTTTTCTGGTACAACTTTTTCACAGACAGACAAAAATCAATTTTATTTTTCCCCAATCACGACAAGAATTTTCGGTCCCTGAGGCGTTGCTCGATGAGCTCGTGGAGCTTCTGGCTGCTCGGTCCCTCGTAGTTATTCCTGAGGTCGGCGAGTCGGATCTGCCACTTCCGAACGGCCCGAAATTCGACGTCGTTGAACTCGCGGATCTGCTGGAACTGCTCGCGGAGGGAGTCGCGAAGGGATTGTTCCAAATCTTGGACTGGTCCTGGAAATTGGGGTTTTTTTCTGGGTAATACGTGCCTTTATTATAACAGTTTTATTTTAAACAGTACTTTCATTAAAGAAAAAATATATAATTTAAAATTTTAAAAAAGAACTTCCCCACCTGTCCGCATGTAATCCAAAGCATCCAGAGGATGAAAACTCGCCGATTCTTGACTTTTCTTCTTCGTTTTCTCCTTCTTCCGTCTTTCTTTCGAAGAACTTCTCGAAGATCCTTCTTTCTCTTCTTTCCCAACATCCTTCTCATCGTTCTTCATAACTTCTTCCTCTTTCTCCACCTCAACTCGCCTTGCCGACTCCTTGATGAGCTTCTCCAAGATCGGAGAAATGACCGGCTCTTCATTTTTCACAGTCGACGTGGAGGATTCAGAATCAGAAGAGCTGTCCTGGGAGTAGGACTTCTGTTTGGATGACGACGATGAAGATTTGGAAGACTTGGAATGGGATTCAGAAGACGTCGATTTCCTAGAAGACGTCGATGGGGACGAGGAAGAGGAGGATGAGGAAGAGGAAGAAGAAGAGGAAGAACTGGAAGAACTGGAGGAGGAAGATGGAGGCGGCGGTTTCCTCGGCAAAGTCTTGGCCGAGAATCGTACTGACGGCGCCTTTTTTGGAGTTTCAATGTCTTCAGCGATCTGAAACTCTTTTAAAATTGAGCTGGACCAGTTCTTCCAAAAAAAAACCTCATCAAAAACGATAGATTCGGCATCGGAACTCGCACTTTCGATGACACTTTTGAAGGGGCTCTTTTTTGGGGCCATCGTGGTTTTCATCGAGGGTGGATCGTACTGAAAATGCTTTTTTCAAGAATCTTTCATATTTTTCTTGAATTCTTTTTTTTTCTTGACGTTCTGAATCTCCGGGAGTCATCAAAACATTAGTCAAATAATCATTGAAAAAGTATCAAATTTAAAAAGTGGACAATAAATTAGATGTATGGAATTTTTGAAAAAAATGATCAAGAAAAAGTTAAAAAAAGTTTCCATTTTGAAAACAACAGTATTTTTTTCAACAATTTTTTTCTTTTTTTCAAATTTTTTTCATAATTTGCACTAACATTATGATTTATTTTCGAGCTTCAATTTTCACGGCGTATTTTTGACTACGATCCGCTAATCTTTTTTGTCCGTAAAGTGTAGTGTGTTGGGTGCATGCACTGGGCCGCTTTCGCATATATCAAAAAGTCAAAAAAAAATTAATAGAATATCAAGGAATAACTTCAAAAATCTCAGACATGTAGATGAACTTCACAGAGAATTATCATTTTTAGACTTAAAGCCAACCTCTTCTTCTATGGCTTCATCAATACTCTGCTCTTTTTTGAATCTCGAAGAAAGAGTAGGCTTTTTCTCGAGAATCGGCGTCTGGATCAACGATTGGTCGATGGAATTCCTGAGTTCTCGAATCTCGGCAATGCTTTTTCGACCAACTTGTCCTGAAAGTCAAGTTTTTCTTTTTCAATCATGAACCTCACAGTGTGTAAAATGTTTTAAAGACAACAGAAAATGTATTTTGAAAACACATTTTTTGCACAAAACTGCGGAAAAAAAAGAATAAAAAAGCAATGGTCTTGAAGCGAATTCGGTCGAAGGCAGGGCCAAAGAAAAATGAATTTTTGAACTTCCTTCTTTTGTTAGTCAAACAGTTAACATATCGTAGCAAATATTTAAAAAAATATTAAATTCCGTAAAAAAAAAAACTCGTTTTTTCATCTATTTTTACTGGCCTTGCACTTAAAATATTGAATCAGCTAAAAATAAAAATAAAACATAGATAAACCTGGGAAGCCTTTGGGCAGGATATTAAAGTCATCCGTTTCAATTACCAGCTTTTCCCGCCCTGAAACCTTATAATATTTCTTTTTTTCCTCTAAGTTTTCCTACCCGAACCATCCGAGTCGTCGTTGAAAATCGACGATTTAAAGGATTCTCTGAAGTTTTTTCAAATAAATCATTTCTAAAATAAAAACTAACTCAAAGGGATCCAAATCCGATTCCTTGCTCGAATCTTTCGAGAGATTCCGTTTGGCTGGAGCTGATCTGAAAAAAAAAATAGCAAAATAGCGAAAAATCGCGAAAACTTACGCATTTTTCGAGTTTTGTAGCGCTTTTGAGTTCTTCTCGAGGGTTTTCAAGTAACTCTGAAGATTTCAAAGTGTTAAAAGGAATATTTTTCGCGGTAACCTGAGCCGATTGAGATAATACCATGAGAAATTGGAGGAAAAGGCGAAATTTTGAGAAAAACGCAACGATTGCGCGCAGTTGCCATGGTTACGTTTCAGGAGCAATTTAAGAAATGTCCAATTTGCAGATTTTCTAATGGGAGTGGTTCGAATACAGCAACTCTTATAATCTTTTGAAAAACCGTAAAAATGAGTAGAAAAAAAAGTATGAAGTTAAAAAATGGCTCAGCTGATCAGAATCGGATGATTTTCTGTATGAGTAGCCCCTCTAGTGCCCTTAGAGGTTTTTCTCTAGATACTACTTTAACAACCTCTATAGGAGTCACTAGAGCTTGCGAAAGTGGTCTCTCTAGGGTTCCAGCTAGTGGCCCCTCTAGGGGACATGCTAATCGATAAATTTTATTGATTCTATGCGAAAAACTAAAAGAAAACAACCTTTTTTGAATAAAATTGAAAGACCCCTATAGGGACCACTCAAGCTTCAGAGGCTGAGAGACCAGACCCAAAACCCCTAGAGGGACCACCTTGATTTCACCCTTTCAGGGACCACCCTACAGTTTTTTTTCACGATTTTTCTTTGAATAAAACATGATTTTAACTAAAAAAAAAATATCCCCTATAGCCTTTTGAAGCGTACTTCTTCAAGTACAATCTTGATTTCAACCAAAAAAAGTCACAAAAAACCGAGAATAGAAGCATTTATTCTAAACAACATAGCCAAAATTAAAATAATTCTGTTGAGCAAATATTTACAAACAGAGCGGGGGACAGACTTTTTTTCTGATTTTGGGGGGTTACGACGGCGAGAAGAAGCACCGGAATAAGCATCTGGCAACAAGGAACAAGTAGAAAAAACATTGGTTGAATCATTTATTTCTTTTTTAATAACGGTAGTTGTCACGATCGCGCGCCGGGTCGTAGCTGTACTGTTCTGGAGGATAATGCGTCGGCGTTGGCTGTGGCGTCGGCATCTGAAAGCCCAAGCTCATAGAAATGAAAAAAAACTTTTTTTTTTCTGAGAAATGCTTCTTTTTTTACCTCCAGAGACAAGACCCAAAAAGAGTTTGCAAAAAGCGAATGCCCGCAGCAGGAATCGAACCTGCGTCGCCACGGCCACAACGTGGAGTACTAACCACTATACTATACGGGCCGAGAGCCGCCGCGCCTATCAGGCTTCATGTGCCGTCTTATCTCGGCCCAGTGAAAAGTTCTTGAGAGTCGTGGAATTTTAAAATCTGATAAGGAAAAGTGATGGAGTTGAGCTCTCGGCTCGTATGGTATAGTGGTAGTACGCCCCGTTGTGATTTTGGAGGCGCAGGTTCGATTCCTGCTGCGGGCATGCCTTTTTTGCAACTTTTTGTATTGTTTTTGGCACTCTGATATTGTTATCAGAATGATGTTTTTGATGTTTTGGAAGCTCAATATGGTGATCAAACTGAGAATTCGCTATTTTTCCAGAAATGTTTGTTGAAAACTCCATAAGTATTGAAAAAATCCCTGTAACTACAACATCCCCTTGTCTCCTTGATAACCTAAGATCATTAACACGTTTTATCAGTCTGACAAGGTACTCTCAGCTCGGCGACAACTGGTTCCAGTGTTCGGCAAACACCAACGGAAGAGAGGTTGGCGACCCGGTTAGTTGCCTGATTACGCCCAGGTTTCCGGCAACCGGTTTCCCAGTGATTTTTGTCGTCATGTTCTACGCTTGAGCATACATACACGTAGGAATTTGGCTCATTCCTTCGAGACAAAAATTTCATCACTTTTCGGGGACAAAATGAGACGAATTTTCATGATAAAAATGAAAAAGTAGAACAGCCTAAGATGATGAAATCACAAGCTTCAGACCGTTTTATTTCTTTGAAAAAAAAGACAATTTAGCCCAATTTTGAGTACAAATTTTTAAAAAGAGCTTCAAGCCTTTGTGAAAAAACAAAACCAAACGATGGGTCAAAGTCGGATTTTTACTATAATATTCAAGATAAATAAAGAGTTCACATCCAAATTTTATTCAAAAATGCTCAGATTACTGTATAAAGCTCTCATTATTCTCGGGCCTCGATAACGACAGACGGAGCATTTAAAGGAGCAGTGAATCTTTTTCAAAAATGGTCCCGACACGATTAGCGAAGTAGTAAGTATCTCGGACCTCGATAACGCGAGACAGACGTGCTCTGGACGTTTCTGGGCGATTCTAGGGATCACTTGAGAGTGCTGACGCTTCTAAAGCGGTCACTAGAAATATCCAGAAACGTCCGTTTCGCGTTACCAATGTCCGAGATATTTACTACTTTGCTAATCGTGTCGGGTCCATTTTTGAAGAAAAGACACTGCTCCTTTAAATAATTTTTAGAGAATTAATGGGAAAGCTTTACTTTTGAAAATTTCTTCATAGAAAACATAATAATCATCCTCAAAGTTCAGCTTCATCTTAAGCTTCTCCTTCATCTCTATCTACTCCCATCTTTTTTTTTTCAGTTTCTCTACTCTCAAAACTTCTTTCCCATGACCTAAAGCTCAAGTTGCACGATTTACCAAAAAAGAGGTCAATGTTTGTTTGAAAATAAGTGATGAGGAAACGGAAGTTGAGCAAGTGAGCGAAAAAAAAAACCCTCGCGGCGGGAAGATCAACAAAGAAATTGACGTTTTTTGGGTCCTATTTTGGTGGGAAAAAACTCGATCGAGGTCTAAAGAGATTATTAGCTCCAAGGCAAGTGATCACTTAAGACGTTTCTTTTGATAGACCACATAACGGTTATGATAACAGATCTACTTCGAAACTCTGACTTCTCTGCTTTCACTCTTCCCTCTCGTGTCCATGTGCTATTTCCATGGTTCTATGACTTAGCCGGTGAGGGAAAAGAGAGCACAGACAGGTAAGACAGTCTCAAACCTGTGAGTAAGTCTCCTCGTAGTACATCTCGCGCCTAACGAACGAGATAATCAGCTCCAAGAAATATCAAGTGATCACTTAAGGAGTTTCAGCGCCCCTTGAGGCTCCTTTCAATAGACCAGAGATCGGTTATGATAACAGGTATCTGCTTTTTCTGCCTCCCCTCTTCCCTCTAATGTTCATGTGCTATTCTGCTAGTTCTATGACGTATCCAGCGAGGGAAAAGAGGCGCAGACAGGTCAGGCAGTCTCCAACTTGCGAGTAAGCCTTCTCGTAGTGAATCCAGCACTTGAGTTGAAAAGAATATTGGCAAGGGATCACTTAAGGAGTTTCAGCGCCTCTTGAGGTTTTTTTCAATAGACCAGAAATCGGCCATGATAACAGCTTTCTAATTTCTCAGCTTTCTCTCTTCCCCCTCATGTTAATGCGCTATTCTCATGATGAAGTGAGAGAAAAGAGGGCGCAGACAGGTCAGACTGTCACCAACCTGCGAGTTAGTCTTCTCCTAGTAAATCTAGCATTTGAGTTGAAAAGAATATTGGCTCCAAGTGAACACTTAAGGGGGTTCAGCGCCTTTTGAAGCTTCTATCAACGGACGAGAGCTCTGTTATGATAGCAGGGTTCTGTCCCCCCTCTTCCCTCTCATGTCCATGTGCTATTTCCATGGTTCTATAACTTAGCCGGTGAGGGAAAAGAGATCGCAGACAGGTCAGACAGTATCAAACCTGCGAGTAAGTATCCTCATAGTACATCTCGCGCTTGAGCTGCTTGTCCTTGGATCTGTTGAAGAGCCAGACGACGAGCCAAATGACGAACGCGATGATGACCAGGATGCAGAAGATCACGATCAACGCCACCGCCCATCCGTACTTGTTGTGCCTAGAAATTAGCATTCTCTATTCATTCATTTCCAGTGGTTCACAATGCAGTATCACTTTACTTTTCTTCATTTTTTTGCTGATTTTTCGTCCTTTCTAAATGAAAAGTGGTCATTTTCTTCAAAGAAATGTATTGTTTAGTTTTAGATCTCTTTCAGAGGTAATAATTTACGCACCAGCCTTCAAACAACCGCAAATAGGCTCAAAAAAGGGGCATTTATACCCAAAATATTTTACAAAATGGAAACTTTGGCGCGACTAGATTTTTGGTTCTATAGAGCGAATTTTCGCCGAACTTGATTTTAATTATTCGATAATTCGGTACTGGAAAAATTAGAAAATTCCTCACTGAAAATTTTTCCAGTTTTCAACTTTCTCACTTCAAACTCCAAGGTCCAAACTATCAATATCAACCTCAAAACAGATGAAATAGGCCCGATTTTGAAAGATTTGCGAGTTGAATCATCCGTCGGGCGTTTCCGCCGCCCTGTTTGCACAGGCGCATTGAGCTTCTCCTTCGAAATTCCTCTCTTTTTCGAACGTCAACCCACTTTTCGATGGATTAACTTTCTCGAGAGCTCTTCTCTGCCGTCTTTGGCAGGTTTCTTGTGAACGAAAAAAAAAAATTAAAGAAAAAGATTTTTTCTGATCAATAATAAAGCCATACGTGACTTAAAAAGTACACGTTATTACCAAGTTCATTCTTGAAAGTCTGATTTCTCTGCGCTCTCTATTCCCTCTACAAATCCACGACCACGCCGGTGAGGGAAAAGAGAGTACAGACAGTTCAGCGGTAGGAACGCTGGGCCGCGAGCGATATCGCTCTCGTCTTAATGCGATTTCTTTCTTGTTTTTTTAAAATTCCATTCATACATCATAAAAATTTAAAAAAATATAGCAAACAACTTCTTTGGCTATATCGCCCGCGATGTAGTTTGTTATATCGCCTTTCGATTCGGAAAAAATTGACTATAAAAAAAAAGAAAAGAGAGCGCAGACAGGTCAGACAGTTTCAAATGACGGCTTAATACCAAAAACTTTTCAAAATGTATCAAAAAAATTGATTTTTTTCAAACTTTCGATCTTAAAATTCAGATAAAAAAATCTTTCCAGCTGATTTTTTTCTTATCAAAAGGTTGAAAAAGTTACCAATCGCCATTCTTGCAGCAGCCGTCGTTGCAGCAGCCAATGTCCTTGTAGCAACGTTCGATGACGGTTCCGCCAGTGTTGGCGACGTTGTAGATGCAGTCATAGAATGAAGGATCGATGGCTAAAAATGAATAAAATCTACTTTCAAAACGTATAAAAAACAAAGGAAGACCTAGCCAATTTTAAAATAGCTCGAAAAAGAATCGGAAAAAAAGCAAAATTTACAACTTACAAGAAAGAAAAAAAGAAAAATTTGATGAGTCTCAAAAAAAAAACATGATGACCTTTGAGAAACGTTTGCCCATATATGGCTTTCAGGCTTGAAGCTGGATATTAATAAGAAAAAAATTCAACCTTGGAAAAATAGAAACAAAAAAACTCATTTATAGCTTTTTTTCTTAAAAATTTTTTTCAAAACTTCCCTAGGAAAAGTTTTTTTTGTTGAATTTTCACTCTCACCTTTTACTATTCGTTTACACGTTTTTCGATTTTTTGAAAAAAATTTTGCTTAAAGGCATAGGGGCAGTAAAAATGGGGTTTCAGGTGAAAGCAGTATCTTATACATTTTTCTTTGCGAATCGAATGGTGTACTCAAAAAAATTACAGGTGTGACAACTTTAGAAGAAAAACGCGATTTTACTTTCGCGCCTTTAATTTTGAAAAAAGCTTTGGATCGGCATGCGGACAACTGTTTACAGTAGCCGTGCACGCGATGTTGCGGACGTCTCATTAGACTCGCATTTTGGGAGAAATAACCGGCTATCTGCTTCAAATTAAGGGTTTCTTTTCTGAAAAATCGATTGAGAAAACAGAAAACAAACACCGATAATAAAGAAAACACAAAAAATCTCTATCCCAATCGAAACCTGTGTAAAATCATCATTTTTCACCAAAGAAGCATTTTTGCGATCAAAGTTCGCAAATTATGCATGAATAGAAAGCTTTTGCGACGAAAAGACTTTGGTGACAACAGAAAACATTGAAAATTGAAAGAAACGAAGAAAAAAGCGAAAATCCGGAACATGGCGAAACCTGTTGTCCATAGAGCAACTTTACTGCAAAGCGCCCTTTTCGCGGGAACTCAAACTTTCCTCTCTCGGGCTTTGAAACATTTTTTCTCCAAAACTAGGAAGTTTGGTACATTTCCAAGTTCACCGTTCGATTCGCAATGAAAAGCTCTACAAAGTACTGCTTTGAACTGAAACACCGTTTTTTACTGCCCCTATGCCTTTAAGTGTACCCTAGGCCTCTCCTCCCTTGGAAAAAAAAAATTCTCGCAATAGATGTTATTCAGCAGGCTTATGATGGGCTCAAGCCACCGAAAAAGGTCCTGCCACGATTAAAAAAAGAGAGAGCGCCTGGAAGGTGGAGAGTGCAGACAAGCTATCCGACAATCGGCTGTTTTTGTTTTTGATATGTCTAGGGTATAATGTAAACGATGAAAAAAAAGAAGTAAAAATGAATTATATAGTATATTTAACTATAATTAAGTATAATTAAGACATGCTACCTTATTCATCAACCCTATCTAAGGCTCGAATAAAATTTTAAGATTTTTTTTCACTGATTAAAAAAAAAACGAACTGTTAACTTGCTGGCCGATGAGGCCAGAGCGGACCAGGCTGTTCGGGTTGAGAATCGTGGTCTGCTGGGCAAGAACTCGGTTGCCCGAGGTGTCGTACTGGATGTTCGCATTGCCGGGGGACACTGAAATCCGTTTTCTTTTTCGAGAAAAATCGAATTTTTGAAGCCGCCCACTCAGATTCTGCTAAAGTTGCAAGTCCTTTCATCTCGTGAGACTTCTTCGAAAACCTCCAAAGTTTTTAGACCCCCCTTCTCCCACAAATTAATCAAAAATATGGCGTAGGAAAGCTTTAAGGGGAATATTTTGAACCAAAAATTTCAGGCAAGCTTTAGATACTAGAGAACATTTTAGTGGCCACTTTAGGGTTCTGACGCCCTAATGACCACTGTAGTAGTCGAAATAGAAGCCACTTAAGAGAATAAAAATTAACAGCCCTTTGAAAAGTCTAAGTGGTACTAGTTGACCACTAAACATTTTAGGAGCCACTTTAGGGGTCAGCGAAATTTCATAGACCACTTAATAGTCCTCGAGGAACCCCTTAATTGGCCACTAAAGTTTTTCCCAATAAACTGTCTTTTCAAGTTATAAAAAGAACTGTTTTTCTGAATTTCTCTCGAGGTTCAAATTCCTGCACATCAGTAATTAATCGAACTTTCTCTACTTGAATCTTTTCAGAAACAGAAAAATAAAAATTGATATACAAGTTTAAATCCCGATATTAGGAAAATTAACTTTTAGTGAGTAATGGTCAAACTTTGAAAAAAAGTGAGTATAATAAATTCAAAAAGAGGCTGCTGCAAGTATTGACGTGCTTCACATTTCAAACAGCCTGAATACATAATAACGTGACCTTTTTCTCATCTCATTTTGTACAGCCGTTTTCAGAGGACCGTTTGAAAAATTTTAGAAACAAAAATAAAAAATTGAAAATTCTTGGGAAAAAAACTTTTGAAAAAGGGTAGAATTCGTAGGGACTTCAGAGCGCTCCCTAAAGTGGCAATTTTAGGGACCCTTGGAGGACCCCCACTAGGGACCGTATCACCACTCCTGTAGTGGCCACTAAAGCTTGGAAAATTGGTCCCTATAGAGGTTTTAGTTAGAGGCCCCTAGAAAAGACATGCTAGTCGATAATTTTTATATACTCTATGCGAAGAAGCGTTTTCATGCGAAAAATTAAACAAATAATGATTTCACTTGATTTTACCCCTATGGAGACCACTTTTTCGGCCCCTATAAGGGCTGATGTTTCCTCTAATCCCTATAAGTACCACTCTGAATTTCTGAGTACGCTAATTATAATTCATGGATCCCGTTGTGAATTCAAGAAAAAAAAAATCATCGCAACCTAATAAAAAAATCATGTCAAAAGAAACTATCTAGAAGTTTGATTCAAAAAAATTATGAGGGGGGCGTATATCCGAAAAAAAATCAGGAAACTATTGATCCAGGAGGTAACGAAACTAATATTCCTTTGAGAGAATGTAAATATTGGATGTTTTTTTCAATCAGTGAAATAAAACTGAAGAACAAACTTCAGAGGAGAAATAAAAAGTAACAAGATAAATTGGAAATTGGTATTTTTTTGTTTTACTCAGCAATTTTTTTCAGAAATCTTGAAATATGGTTTGAAAATTTCGAATGAACCAGAAAAAGGGAGGAAAAAAATGTGGATCATTTTGAAAATAGTAATAGAGAAAATGCTGAAAAGTACTGGGATCATGAAATGATACATTAAAAAAATCAGTCTCTCAGCTTCTTCTCGTCATTTTTCGGAACGATAAAAAAAGTTTCAAGAATTAATTTGTTGATTAAAAAAATGAGAAAATGGTCCGTAAAAAGTTTGAGGAAAAAAATTGAGAAATTTATGGTTTTCTGTTAAAAAAATGGTACGAAAATGATTACCAAGAACCCCCGAGTCAGTTAGAAAATAAATAATTTTTAAAAAATCAACAGGTTCAAATAAAGTAAAATGATTACCAAGGCCCTCCCAGTCAATTAAAAAGAAAGAAATTTTTAAAATCAACAGTTTGAAGTAAAAACTGGACCCTTTTCTGTTAAATACGATAGTAAAATGATTACCAAGGCCCTCCCAGCGAGAGTTGGATCCGGCCGCCATGAATAAAACGTTTGTTGGTGGTGATGGAAAAGCGGAAAGACGGGGGGTTGGCGGCAAGGCAGCGGAGCACTGTCGAGCCCGGTGGGCGGAGCCCCGAGCTCTTTTTCCGCCTTTCTCCCTCCCCCTCCCATTGGAACATATTAAGCCGACCTGTAAGCCGTGAATCAGTTGGCAGGATTAGCACGTGTGTTCAGCACGCTTCCTTTGAACTGGAATTTTTGAGAAGGGGACTTGAAACTTTTCGAGATTACAAGGAACATTGTTCAACTTTACGTAGTGATAAAAAGCCATTTTTTTCAAAACTATTATTTTTTTGATTAGATTAAGCAGAAACCTTTTGTGAATTAAGCAAAAAAATACTTTTTTTGAGAAAAAAATACTTGAAAAAAATCATACAAACCAGCTGTTTATAACTTTCTGAAAACTGGCCATAATTTTTCTAGATAAATAATCCTAGAACTTGCAAAAACTTCATATTTAACAAGAAAAAGTACTCCAGATAGTGGAAGAAAACCATTAAAATCTCTAAAATTATACCATTTTTGAAAAATCGAAACCTTGACACAAAAATTGATACTTCCAGAATATTCATCCGAAACCTCGGGGATCATTTTGGTTGACCGACTGAAATACCGAAATAAAAATGAAAAAACCTTATTTTTCCATGCTTTGTAAAGCTCAGAGCTTTGAAAAAAACTCAAAAGTTATATAACCGGAAATGAGGTTTTCATTTCAATGGAAATTTCTGAATTTTTCAGTGAATTCTTCCGAATTATAATGCTTAAAACTTAGTCAAAAAAAAAATGAGAATCAAAATTGAAATTTTTTTCGAAAACCGATAGAAGTTCTATATTTTTGTGAAGGCGAGAAACGGATATATAACTTTCAGAAAAAAATATTTCGAATCCAAAGTCTCCAGAATTATCTCCCCATGAAAGCCTTGAAAAAATTTCAAAATTTCAAAATAATGTTTTTTTCGAAAATCTCAAAAACGGAGACTCTTGCATTTTTTTCAGAAGCTTCTCTTGAATTGAAATGTTCGGAACTTGTTTTTCAACAGGCTAAAAAAATTCAAAAATCCTTCTTACTTTTTATTCCGTCAATTTATTCCTTTTGTTATGAAAAAAAACATTATCGTTTTCAAGCAATTATCAAAATTCCTCGTGTTCACGCCAACCGTTTTTTTTATCCTCCTTCCGTTTGTCTTGCCCTAACCTCCCAACACAGCCGAGCCAAGCCAAGCACCCTCGCATCCAAAAAAAAGAGCGCCGAGACCGGCCGGAAGAGCGAATGTTTGCGTCTTTCCGCGTGAGCCTCCGCCGCCGCCGCCGCACCTTAACAATGCCTTCTTGCGTCTCGCAACTTGGAAAAGGGGACGTTTTGATTGTTCGAACATTCTCGGCGGGAAGGTCATTTTACTTTCTTAGGAGTACTTTTGAAATCGCTGCGATTTTTAATTTTCTGAAAGTTTGCTCAAATCTAAATGAAGATCCCTCAATTGCTGATTATCTAAATTTACAAAAAATATTTTCCTTAAATCTGGCAAAGTCGGAATAATGGATAATGGCCGCTAAAAAGGAGAGGCTCAAAAAAGGCAAGAGAAATGCAGCAAAAAGGCCGCAGAAAGGCAGCAAAAAGGCACCAAAAAGGATGCGAAAAGGCAGCAAAAAAAGAGTCTTTCTCATCCTGAAAGGAACACTTCTATGAAGCATTTCTCCACCCTTTGCGACTTTGCCTATGTATTTATTTTATTTTTGCGCGTCGAAGCGTGTCGTGTGTGCGATATTGCGCCGTTCTGAAGGAAAATAAGTGTTTTACGGCCGAAAAATGGGAAATCCGAAATTAAAAATTCAGAACTTTGTGTTTTTCTATGATAATTAATATTATTTTTCATTCTTTTTTTTATGTAACTGATAGACTGCCTTCTCTTGATGATTTGAACAAAAAATATAATATAATAGTTTTTCCGTTGGTGCCGAGGACCCTTTTTTCTTATTTTTCGAACTAATTATACTTGTAAAAACCTCAAACTGGGTGAATAACAATCAGAGAGGCATTTTCATCAGTTTTCAACAAAAACCGATTCAAAAACGGTTGAATATGAATGGAAAACGAACCAAAACAGTGCGGCGGCAGCCGAAAATTCAGAAAACGCCAGATTTTTCGGTTTTCTCGCGCGTCACTAAAAGCTTCATAATTCGGCTCAAAATCAAAATTTTTGAAAAGCTATACTGATTTTATTTTTGAACAGTATGTTCTATCAGATGGTGTAGATGGTGTTGGATTCGACTATGCTTTTTTCGAGAAATGGCTTGTGGTGCCTACCTATGTATCAAAAAAAAAAACCGGAGAGCTATCAAATCGATATCTTCTTCCAACTCAACTAGAAAATCAAAAAGAATAAAAAAAATAATTCAAACTTGTCCGCTACATTTTCGAGCATTAAACACACGCACAAAAATCAAATTATTCATTAGCAATATTTTACATTTCCTCGCGAGGAAACTGTCTGAGATCTTGAGCAACATGTAAGGTATGAACAATGGAGCATTTCTGAATATAACAATTGAAGAAGAAAGAAATATTGCGTATCGTCGCGCTGGCAGCAACTCGTCATGGCGTGGAGCTTGATCAAACTGGAAATATTTTATATTTTATTGGGATCATGATAGGGAAGGGACCATCAATAGTCTTTTCGGGTTTCTCGGGAGGTGCCTCGACGTGGATGCGAACTTGGCCGTGGATGGGAGCGGCGATGGTCGGTTGGGTGGCTGATGACGTCGAGGGCCGCTGCGCGAACCGCAACGCGTCCTCGTAGGACGGCGGCTCTCCGTCGGCTCCGGTCGGCGCCACGCAAGACGTGTACGAGGGCGGCTCTTGCTGAAGTTGGAGATTAATTGAAGATCTTTCGCCAAAATGGAAAAACGAAGACAAAAGTGTCTAATTAAGAAAGGCAGAGTTGTCCCTATAGGGGTTGAAAGTCTGACCCCCTAGCTTTCTTTTGACGTCTACTTTATTCGCAGGAATATATTTCTTCTCATAAAGTTCATAACAATAAACGACCTTTTGAAAGGCCATTAATGAAAGTTTAAGTGGCCCCTATAGGGGACGTAAATTGGACTCTAGAGGAGAAAATTCAAGAGCCCTAAGATTGCTTCTATACAGACCACTCTGGCGTTCCTAAGAAAGTCTGTTCAAATTTTGAATGTCAAATAGAATGACGTCATTCAAAAACGATCTGTGGATGGCTCTTTGATTGGTTTATTGCGTAATTAGAGGCGGAGCTTGAGAAATGACCTGACCTTCAAAATTTCGATAAACTATAGTAGTTTCTCATCACTAAAGTCCCTATTTTCTCAGAAAATTGTCAAAATTAGGTTTGAAAAAAAAAGTTAAATTTTGTTCAAAAATGTAACGTAAGTGTGAACAAAGGAATCACCTTAAAATTCTCATTTTTCTCAAATTTGAATTTTTTATGTTCCCAGCACAAAATTCACTATCCTGTAAGCACCTGCCTTTGGTGGAATAGTGAAGAAAATATAAATGAATATAAGAACGAAAGTTTTTTATCGATTGCTCCATTTTCCCCTTCTTTTTCTGGTTTTTTTTTCGAATATTCAATCAAAACTTTTCAATTCTTACGCAAAAATTAATGTACCGAGATCAATCACTATCACTTATGTCTCAAAATATTATTTTTACTTAAGGGATACCTTCTCAAAACGCCTCGGGGGGTCACTTCGGTTCGCAGAGTTCGCTATACACATCTTCTGCCAAGAGAAGAAGAATATCCTGAATTCAGTTCATTTTCATCTTCAATTTCATCTAGCAAAAATAAACCTAGCTTCAATGGCGAGCACTAAAGTGCAAATGACGGCGGCAAACGGGAGAGTCGGGTATTGTTCGGCCAGATCTTTGAAAATCAACGTCCCTCTTGAGGTCTGCAGAAATTCATTTTGAGAAGTTTTTCAGTTCTCAAGGACTTTTGGTACTTCCAAAGGCCAAAAGGAGTAGAAAATGACAAAAAAATCTTCAAGCTTTTACATAGCTAGAGTCCAAACGACCTTAAAAGGCTTTAAAAGAAGAGGCTAAAACTCCTTTTTAAGTTTAAAAAAAGGTGTCAAAAGTTTCTTGGAATCTCCTTTTATCCACCTTTTTCCGCCTTAATATTCTAGTCCTCCTTAAAAGGTCTTTTTTTAGAAAAAAGTCTAGGAAAAAAGGCGCATTTGAGACCTTTACAGGCCTTTTCCAAAAGTCATTTTTGAGACCTCTTGGACTTTGCCCGTGTACGTAATTTATCAATTTCAACGTCTTAACAATTTTGTATGGTTTTCTACAGAGAATCTTGTAACACGGGCAAAGTCCAAAAAGCCTTTAAAAGGTTTTAAAGGCGTCTTTTTTCCTAAAAATTTTTCTGAAAGGATCTTTTAAGGAGGTTTAAAAAAATAAGGCGGAAAAAAGGTGGAAAAAGGAGATTCTGAGAAAATTTTGAACCCCAATCAGTAACTCAAAAAGAAGCTTCAGGCTCTTCTTTCAAGACCTTTTGGACTTTGCCTGTGAAAATGAAGAAGGCCTCAATCTATTATTGATTTTTGGAAAAGTTGGAAGCTGATAAAGTTCACGTAAAACCGAGAATTGTTTTAAGAAAAACGCCTAAAAGTGAAATAATTAGGGCCACTGAAAATAACTGAAAACACTACGAATAAATCGGCTCCAGTAAAATATGAAGCCGTCTAGTTTTCTTGATTCAGTCAATACCGAGATTAGCCCCCCCCCCCATGCCAAGTTTTTTTAAAACAGAGAAACAGGGTAAAAATATGCAAATTATGAAGATAAAACGACGCAAGAACCAGCTCTCGTCATGAAAACGATCTTTTAAAAAGTTTCTTGTTGCAGTAAAGTACGGGGAAATCAAAACGACGTGCTTTCACAATTAATTCTGCACCAACCGTGCTATATTCGCCATGTCGAATCCTTGGCGGCATTTGCTGATAATCGTCCACCGTAATACAGCCGACGAACATCATGAATAGTAAAAGTATACACTGAAAAAAAATTTTTTTTTTCCAAACTTTTTCATTTTTTTTTAAATTCAACCATACTTGGGCAGCCCATTTTTTGAGACGGCCGACCCCTCCTCCCAAGTTTTCCTAAATTAAACATGATACCACCTTTTTGAGGCACAAACTTATATGATTGTGGCCAAAACTACCCTCCTGCGATTCAAACTTGATTTTTTTTTCCTAACTTTCGAAAATTTTTACACGGGCAAAGTCCAAAAGGTCTCAAAAAGGACTTCTGGAAAAAAGGCCTCAAATGCGCCTTTTTTCAATTCAATTCAATTTGTTTATTTTTCGCAACATCGGGATGGTATGGTGATGTTGCAGGGAGGGAAAAAGACCACTAGGTGGATTAACTAACCCCACCTGTGAAGAAAAAAAAAAAGTTTTTTGTGTAAGAAAGAAACATAGAACCATAATAAGTAGATATTTAAAACCAAGTTGATCATGGAACAAATCTGTGAACACTTGAAAGAATATGCTCGACGCCCACATTTTCTGCATACACTAAAAACAAGTCCTTAAATTTTTTCTTGTCTTCCTCTGCCAATAATTCATGTTCAATGTCATTCCAAACATTAGTAATGCGATGTGATAAGAAATTGAAGAAAACCAGTGAAGGTTTCGTTTTTATTAATTTAAAACCATTTCCTCTGAGCTGACTGGGACGGTCAAAGATGTTTTCTAGACCTTTTTCTGAAAAGGACCTTTTAAAAAGTTCTAAAGAAATAAGGCGGAAAAAAAGATGAAAAAAAGGAGATTCCGAGAAACTTTTGACACCTGTTTAGGAACTAAAAAAGGAGCTTTATAATCTCATTTATAAGGTGGTTTGGACTTTGCCTGTGTAATCTAACCCCTTCTTCCGGGCTGAATGAGTTCTGTACTTGCTCATCTATGCTTTCAACTTTCAAATTTGTGAAATTTTTTGATTTTTTCTGACTTCTAACAGTCCAAAGAATAGTTAAATCACCATCAAGACTACAAAATACCTCAAAAAAAAAAAAACAACAATCAAATCCACGCAACTGGTTTGACTTGACCTCTCAAGTACTTTCAACGTCAATGTTCTTCATTTTCACTCGGTGTTTCTTTGATTTTTCGATTTTTTACCTTGAAAAGAGTTACGGAAGGAGTCCATGAACTAAAATTTTTGGAATTAATCGATTTTTGTGAATATTTAACCACTAATTGAACTACCGTTTTGTACTGCGAACTTTGGATTTCTGTTTTGTTTTTTTGAACGCTATGTAAGAATTTTTTCGAAACCTTCGAAGGTAACTAGGTTCTCAAAAAGTGATGCTAGAAGCATGATAAAAACAAAAAAATTGTAAAATACCCTAAATTCAGAGTAGCATGAGTCCTTAGCCAAAAAATTCACTTTCGAACATTTTTCTTGGAAGGGTCTTTTTTGGCTTGGAAATTTCAAAAATGTCCAAATTCTTACTTTCGTTTTCATAGAGATTTAAAAGGCTCTCGGAAAAAAATAGGAACTAAATTGGACTAAAATGGTAAAAATAGGGAACAAAAGGGGTCTAAAATAAGAAATGAAGTGAACACTTAAGGGCACTCAAAGGATTTTTTCAAGAGGGGAAAAATGAAAACTTGTTTTTCAAAAACCTTATGCGCTTGATATAAAAATGACACAGAAACAAATTTTTTTTTTCAAATTTTGCATCACAAAAAGCATATAAAAAACCCCCTTGACTCGAATCTCCCTTCTAATTTCAGGTAGAACTTCTATTCCACCTCACTCTAGTTCAAAAATTGGCCTCCCAAAGCAATTTATCAATATTCAACGTCTCCGGACAAGTTCAAATCAAGTGACGCCGTTTTTTCTCAATTCAAAAGTGGTCGATCAACAACGTCATGTCTAGAGAAAATAACAAGAGAAACTCGTTTTTTTCTACGATCACAGGCAAGAAAGTAAGGCGAAGAGGAGAAATTGGTGACAAATTTGACCACATTGAGTGGGTAATCAATGAAAAGTGTAAAAGTCAATTTTGAAATTTCTTAAAATTTCTTAAAATTTCCCCTGAAAAATTTTTAAGCAAGAGATAAAGTAGATAAAATTGACCATTTCGAGTGAGCAATGAATCAATCTTCGGACAAAGTCGGAATGGTGGGTAATGGCCGCTAAAAGGAAGAGGCTCAAAAAATGTCGCAAAAAGGCAGAAAAAAGGCTGCAAAACGGCCGCAAAAAGGGAGCAAAACAAATCCCTCTATCGAGCCTAAAATTTTTTCTGGGATTTTGAAGGCTCAAGAAATGATAGAAAAGGGAAAAAAAAAAAGCAAAAATGGTGCAAAAAAGCCGATGGAATGGCGCAAAAAGGCAGCAAAACAGGACCTTTCGTCACCATCCAAGTAACATTTCTATGGAGCCTTTTCCACCTTTTCCGACTTTTCTTATTATGTTATAAATCAATTTTTCTATTTTTGTATAAATTGAGAAAAAGTGCGGAGCCAGAGAAAAAAGAGCATTCAATTAGAAAATGTGAGTGAATATAAATTTTTCGTTCAAAAAAACTATCCAAAAACCTTCCCAATCGGGAAAAAACTGTCGAAATTGACTAATCAAGGTGGTCAGGCAATAAAATGAAGTTATAAGAACTTTTGAACCTTTTTTCCGGGGGAAAAAATCCACAAATCTTGCAACTCTGGGAAAAAAAGAAAAAAATGACCAAATCTCATGCCCGATCAATACGGAAGATACAAGTCCATTTTCAAACTGTCATTTTTTTTTTCCCCTGAAAAACCTTCCAAATGAGGACGGGGATGACGAGAGCCGGCAGATTGCCATTGATTCCGACGAGAGCGCCGACGACGAGAGCGAAATTCACGACGAAGAGGATCGACGGGATCAGGGAGTCCGGATAGACGAGGTACAGCAGAATGCAGAAGAAGCTGTCCGGCGGCAAGGTTAACGCCGCTGTCAGAAGCACCTGAAGACATGTATCAATTGAATGATGACAACAGAAAGAAATCTGAAGCCAGGAAAAAGTCTTTCAAAGCGAAAAATAACATAACAAAAGCTCTTCAAGGGCTTGAAAAAAGACCATTTTTTTTCTCTTTAGATTTCATTGCTTCACTGATAAGGTGATCACAAAAGAATCAAGCCTTGAAAAATTTATTAAAAAAATGTTCAAATAAAATCGCTCTATGATAAGAAGTATTTCCATGCGAGAAATTAAATAAATGAGCGTTTTTTTAAATAAAGATGAAAGACCCCTATAGGTACCACTTAGACTTTAGATGCTAAAGGGTCAGACTCTAAACTCCTAGAGGGACCACTCTAGAATTCAAGTACAAGGCTTTTAGTTTAATTTTTTCGGGTACCTTGAACCATTTTTTTAGTTTCCCTTTTTTTCGATTCGATTTTTCCCGGATAAAATCGATTTTTCGAACTTTTTAAATTTTTTAAAACCATTTTTCTCTTAAAATTCAACTATATAAATTATAAGATGAAAAAAGACCTTTCGGTCACGAAAAAGGGGCTGCGCGGCTGGATTACGGTAGTATGGAGGACTGCCGGCATGGATGAAGAACATCTTGGGGGCGGGGCGCCAAGTCGTTTCCTACCAACTTATAGAAGATTTCTGGAAGAAAAAAGGATCTTTACGAAATTATTAGAACAATCAGAAAGAAAAGAGCGGATTGAAAGAAAAAAATTCGAGGTCAAGTTTTAATCGGTCATAACGACTAAATAACGAATCGATCATTCGAATCCATTTATCTTGTACCTATTCAAAAACCAAAATTTGAGCTAGAAAGGGCTCAAAATCGAAAAACCGTCGCTCACTGTCAAAGTGCGGAAGCGCGGAAAACGGGTGCAAAATGGACGCTAAAAGGGTTCCGTTTTGCGGCCTTTTTTTTGAGCCTTTCATTCTTGGTGGGCTAAAAAGAGTCATAAAAGGGCGAAAAAAGTGAGAGGCCGCAAAAAGGGTGAAGAAAGGGAGAGGGTGCAAAAATAGTGCTGAAAGTCTCGGCCATTGATGATTATTGATTTTATTACTGTAGCTCATCTCGGTTCATACACAGTCCCTGGTAAAGATTATTCTCAATTTAAAAGCTTTTTTGTTTCTCAAAAAGGTCCAAAAAGGGTGGATAAAAGCCGATGAAAGGACCGAAAAAGGCAGTAAAAAGGAAGCCGTTGCCACCCGTTTAGGAACAATTAATGGGAACTTTGTGATCCACAAGCCGTTTCCACAGATCAGCTATTAGATTTATTTGATATTTTTGATGTGTTATTTTTGTATTTGTCGTGCAGATTGCGGAATGGCAAATAAACACTTGAAATGAAATAACTGTCGCTCAAAAGGCCCTTAAAGGTTCCTTGGTCCTTTGCCTATGGCAAATGAACCGCGATGATTCTTTTTTGGGCTTCGATTTATTAAAAATATTAAGATGAAAACTCAAAAGCTTCAAAACTCTTTTGTGAAAGAAGGAATCGAATGAATACTGGAAAAAAAAGAAAAAGTCAAGCTAGACGATCAGAAAACTTCAAAAAATGAAAAAAAAAATCTTTTTTTGTCGTTTTTATGTAGGGTCCGCAAGCCATTTCTTCAAAACGATCCAAAAAATATGCTTTTTACACTGTTCGATAGAGGAGACTGTCCATTTTCATAATCCGTTCAGTTTTAGAAAAAAGCTCCACTAAGAAAAAAGTTATGGCCAAAAAACGAGCGCGCGCGGCGTACAACTGGAGGCAAAATCTCACGGTTTACCCGCTGCCGCACGCTTTCTTTTTAAATGTTTTTGCGCGTTTCTGGACCGTTTTTAAATCGGTTTTCTGTTCTGAGAGGTTGTCAGAACTGAGCCTCATGTTTTGGTATGAATCTTTTGTACAATCCTCATAAGAATTTTTGATAAAATATCAAAAAACTACCTAGAAAAAAGGTCAAAGGGATTTTTCAGCTTATTTTTCTTTTTTCTACTCAGAAAAATTATTATCATTCGATTTGGAAAAAAGAAAAAATGAAAAATAATGTTATTTCGAAATAAAACAGGAAAATGTGTAATTTGACTCCAAAAAACGGCTCCTGCAACATTTAAAATGGCGCATCGGTGTGTTTGACGCAAACACAGCTACGAATGCTTGCACGAATCCTTCCAAAATTTCAAAAAAATTGCCATTTTTTCGAGGTTTTCAAAGCCGTTATTTTTTTCGCGTCGTTTGATTTTTTTTCATAATTTTTTCATCGATAGAGTTTTGAACGCTTAATAACCTGATCAAAAAGTATAGACGCGATCCTATTCTCTCATGCGTCAACGAGGCAGGCGAAAAAAAGGAGGTTTTGGTAAAATCCAAATATAATTTGATTCACTGTCCCAATAATTATTTTCATTCTGAATTTTTGTTTGTGAGCACATTGTGAGTTTTTAAATCAAATAAAAAGTATACCATGTCGCTGAAATTTTTTCGCATTTCAGCTTCAAAGTTTGGTGTCACTTTACAAGCCTCGATTTTTTTTTCGCGTCGTTAGATTTTTTTTAATTTTTATTCAAAAAATAAAGGAAGTGTTAATGTATAACATACTCAAAATTTGGAAGCGTTCCTCACTTGGTTTTCAGAAACGCGACGATTTTTGTGAAACTTGTCAGTTTTTTTCGTGTTAAATCTTACTTTTTTTCGCTTATTTTTTTGAAAAAAATACATAGTTTTTAAAAAAATATTCAGTCTTGTAGAGCGTTGTCGATTACATAGATTAACAGAAACAGTTCATTTTTAAAGTGGGACTTTAGCTAGTATAAACGCCTCAAAACCGTTTTGCAACAAAAAAATCGTCATTTTGGTGGCGTGAAGGGGCGGGGCTTTGCGCCCCCTATTTTTATGAGCCAGCTAAAGATATGAAACGCTCCCAGACGTTTAAAAAGAATCCATGAAACTCTCAAAAAACGATTTGGTGGAAAATAAAACGAATTAAAAAGGCCATGGGAAACTCGTAAATGAAATTTTCCCGTGGGTGGATGTCAAAAATTTTGTTACATTTCGTTCTTCTCGACGATTTTTGGTTGCATAATTGACATGGATTTTTTTCGAAGTTCGCAAATTTTACAATAATCTGAATAAATTTCAGTTTACTCAATTTTAATCGATCAGGGGAATAGTGGAACACATTAATATTTTTTCAAAATAATTAGCGATTTTTTTGAAAGAGAATTTTGGAGCTTAGATCTTCAGGCTGTTTTTTTCTGTACAGAGAATCGTTGGCAATAGGCCAAACCGCTCAAATTTATTATTTTTTTCAGTTAAAAAAAGACTTCTGCACCCTTAAAAACTTCAAAAAGGGTTTTATAAAAACTATACATTTAAAAAAAGGTCCTGAAACGAGAAAAAGATCCAGTTTTACCACAAAAACGTTGAAATAAGGAACGGAGCGTATTTCTTCTCAAATGAGTCACGAGAGTGGATTCGAATCGTGCTTATATAACGTAAAATGGAACGGTGATTCATTTGGAAACGAAAAAACGACGACGACTAATAGAACGGTTTTGATTTTTATCTACGAGTGGTTTTTGTTGAGGAGAATGAGAAGACTATTATTTTCAAATGAAAAACGCTTCATAATCGTTTCAGAATTTTTTTCGGACGGTTAGGTTCAGATTGAGTAAAAAAATATTGGCCAATTTTTTTAAGCAAAAAAATTTTATTAATTTTTTTCATGAAGATAAAACTTTTTAACGCTAAAAAGAGACATTCCAAAACTTCCGAAGTTCATGAAAACTCAGCTTAAAAGCTTCCAGAATCCAAGAATCCACTGAAACTATGAGCAAACGTCTTTAAACCAAAATTTCGAAACTTCTCAGTTACGAAACGAAGATCCTGACCCATTTTTCACAACTCGAAATTCGAATTCAGTGATCGGCCGGTGATAAAAGAAGAAAAGAAACGTAAAACTGAACAACAGGTGTTTCCCGCCTCTCGACAGTGGGCGGTCGCTGCAAAATTTGATACTCTAACCTTTTTTTGCGGTTTTTTCGTTTAAAATTTTTGTTGAACAGATAAGAAACAAGTTTGATTAAATGAGGAAATGACGTAGAAAAGGAATAAATAAAATTGGGTACTTCCTGTTCGAGAAAAATGGGAGAAAATACAAAATTTGTAGAAAAGATATGGTCTTTTTTCAAGGAAAAGGGTCGAAATTAGTTTTTTTTTAATGGAATTGAAGGGTGGAAAATTTTTGGAATCGCCTGTGGAACATATGAAAAGTTCAAGGATAGAAAAAAATGTTTGAAAATATTTAAAAATAGATTTTTGTCAGGAAATAGGTTTTTTTAAAAGGCATTTGGAAGAGTGGATGAAATAAATTATAAGAAAAATGCTCTTCTCAGAATCTGTCATGAAATAAAAGCCCACATTATCTCATACAAAAATTATTTCACAACCTATAAAGTTTTTAAATTCCTTAAAAAAACATGAAAAATTCGCGTTTTTTATCACCCTCAAACTGAAAATCTTATCTTCTAATCGAAATTCTTCGATTTGCCTAGCAAATAATAGAAGGAAAAACAAGATTTCCCGGGGTATTTTGGTTGAAATTTCGAAAAAAATTCCAAAAAGTGAAAGTGGCGAGAAGGCAGAACAACAGCCTGTATACCGAATGTTGAGAAATGTCACAAGAAAAGCGAAAAATCGAACAAAAAAGAAAGAAATAACCATAAACATGGATTATATGATGTTTGGGGGTGATCACATGGTCTTTACATTGTTTTTCCGTTTTTTATTCCCATTTTTTTGACTACCGGTCGTTGGAAGTTTTTTTCATTTCTCGTTCTGTTTAGTGTGAATTCGCCGGACAATCCGATCAACTCAATGTTCAACGAACGGATGTACTATTAAAACTTGGGTTGCAGGAACTTTAGAACTAGAATTTAGTTATTACTTGAGAAATATATTTCAAGAGCGCAGGAGTTTGAATGACCGGGAATAACACGGAAAAAAGCTTTCTTGAGCATTTTCTGTTCGAATATTATATTATTGATCGGGCTTGAATCAGGTAAAATACGTGAAAAAATAGAAACTAAAATTGTTATGAGAAAAAAAAAATCATGAGTAATCTCTCTACAGACGTTGTTTTGTGAAATTATTTTTTTCAAAAAAATGCTATTTTGAGAATAAAAAAATAAAAAAATGCTTGTTCTAAAAAAATTTCCAAAACAAACATCGTGAGAAAAAAATTAGGCTCTGAAGTTCCTTAACAATTCCTTAATAAAAAGTCAAAAAAAGATAAATTATTGGTGTCTAAATTTAAAAAAATTCATACAGAATTCAAACTTCATATCAAACTTGATCCTACAAAAAGAGAGCTCATTTTTCAAAATTAAAAGCTCAAAAAAAAGAAATGGATAAATCTTCGATCAAAAAAAACTTTCAAAAAAATCTTCGAAAAAAATGAGAAATTCAAAAATGAGTTTGGCGGTTGGCTTTTTGAGCCCTTATTTTCTTATAACTTCAAAAATTGTCAAAATATTTTTCCACGTCTTTTTAATGGTGCATTTAATGGAAAAAAAGGACACATGGATTGAAATAGAAAAAAACTGTTTTGAA